TACCAAATTTGTTTTCAATGTAATTCTTATGGGGGAAATGCGACCTTTGAGAGCGTCTCGTGCCCTTAAGAGCAATGGCAGAATGCCTAACAGAAAAATCGAAGAAACCTTTTTGTGCGACGTTAAGGGCCAGCAGCATGTGTCTAAGGAGGACAAGGAAGAAGTGGAGGACTCTTAGAGAGTTTGAAGATGGGACTGGAGTACCAGTTATTTATTTATTTAAATAGCAAATGTTTTATTATTTTTCCATATCAAAATTGTGAATTATATTATTTAGTATAAAAAAAAAATTTACAGATGACTTAAATTAATTGATATATTTACATTCTTTCAAAATGTAAACATGGAAAATTTGGAAGGCCATGGGGCGTAGCCAAGGGAAATGTGAAAATTAAATGATATAATATTGCATTGCCATCCATTTGGGAGCTATGTTTCAAGTTTCAAGTCTCTAGCTCATCGGGAACTTTGTTTAAAATTGATATCAAAATTTGTAGGAAAGCGACTAGCGAGCTAATAAAAACAAGCCCATGGGGCGTAGCACAAGGGAAATATGAAAATTAAATGATATAATATTGCATTGTCATCCATTTGTGAGCTATGTTTCAAGTTTCAAGTCTCTAGCTCATCGGGAACTTAGTATAAAATTGATTGCAAAATTTGTACCAGACAAGAAATAAGCGAGCTAATAAAAAACGTTTTAATATATAATTCTGAGCAATTTGCAGACAAAACTCTAATTTTATTTATGAAGATTTATTGTTTGTTTGTTTACTCTATTACTGAATTATTAATTATAATTATGAATCTTTGATTCTCAATTCTCATTACTGTATAAGAAAACCGGGCTGACACTAACAATGACAGTTTTTTACTTTCCTAAATCCTAACCCTATTTTCACAAGGTCAGTTTGTGTGGTATATTTTCCAGGGCGGCTATTTCAGTGACATCCATATCCATCCATGTTAATCAGACACAATAACAAACACTGAAAATCTTCAAAAATATTGATCAAAATGGTTCCTTGTGCTGGAAATATGTAAACACCTTACCTACTCTATGTTAAAAAAATCTAAAATCGTATAACTCATTGAGCGAAGCTCTTATACGTCGACTCTTATGCATTTCGTAATCGCAGAGGATACGCGTCCGGTAACCGTGTACGTCGATTAGACGTCCGGCAATTACTGTCATAACCTAACCTAACCAACCAAACTTGCTGATAATGAAAAAATCGAATTAAGGTTAAATTCTTTCTCTATTAGAAAATTATAAATGCCAAAAATTCTAATTAAAGATGTACAGTTAAGAATAAATGGTATTCAATGCAAAATCTTCGACAAAAAGTTAATGTCACCAATGGGACTCGAACCCTGGACCTCTTGCATATCAGCCGAGCATCTTATCCACTACACCACGACCACCGATGGTTGGTGATGGTATTGTTGTAGTAAAGGCGTTCCAGGTTCCCGCAACCCCATGACGTCATTGCCGGACGTCTAATCGACGTACGGTTACCGGACGCGTATCCTCTGTGTTTCGCAATACGCAATCTCCTCCAAGACGGCTGAAGTAATCATTTTCAAATTTTGCATGGTGATAAAGACCATATATCGGTGAGTGCTAACAACTATATGGTGTTAAAAAAACTCTCTAAGGAATCCCCCCCACTGGCTCTAAAAATTTTTATGTAATCTTTATGGACGCAGTATTTGACACAAAAACAAAGACACAAGATCAGCTGTTGACGTATTAAAGGACTTAACTGAAACGGCTACTTTAAAAAAGGTCGTAGGTAAAAGGAATTACTGTAACTGTTATCACCGATATTAGAACAGAAACGGTATGGTTCATAAACATAAAAAATGACGTCACTAGCTTTTTATTATAATAATAGTTGTTTTATTACAAATCCAGTTATTTTATTATAATAAACCTTTTAATTGGAAGTCAAATATACTTTTTATACTAAATAAATTGTTTTTAATTTAATTCCCTCATCAGTAGATTGAAATATATAAAAATAGTCACACAATGTCCACAAAATGTCAATATCAAGCAGCTGATTCGAATCCTACGTGGTGTTTTCTAGTTATGTTTAATTTTTTTACTCGTATTATGGATACTAGTACCTGGGGACCGAGCTTTGCTCGGGAAAAGTCATTAGTTCACTCTGAAAGCAGTCTTAGTATTGGAAATACATAAATCTATTCCCAAACTCCACACGGCTCGCCTTTACTACGTCCTACACCATTTCCTACGTCTTGGACCTGTTTTCCTCCCTTCCCATAGCATATTTTAAGATTGCAGATACCTCAATCTAATCCTCATAGACAGTTCCCACACTCCGGACTACTCGCCTTGACTACTTCCTTCACCACTTCATACGTCACGGACATGTTTCCCTCCATTCCCATAGCATTTTAGGATTGCCCATACCCTTATCTAATCGTCATAAACAGTTCCCACACTCCGGACTGCTCGCCTTTTGACTACTTCATTCATCACTTCCTAAGTCACAGACCTGTTTCCCTCTATTCCCATAGCATTTATGATTGCCTTTACTACTTCCTTCACCACTTCCTACGTCGCGGATCTGTTTCCTTCCCTTCCTATAGCATTTTAAGAATTGCAGATACCTTAAGCTAATCATCATAAACAGTTCCCACACTCCGGACAGCTCGCCTTGACTACTTCCTTCACCACTTCCTACGTCACGGACCTGTTTCCCTCCCTTCCCATAGCATTTTAGGATTGCAAATACCTCAATCTAATCGTCATAAACAGTTCCCACACTCCCGACTGCTCGCCTTGACTACTACCTTCACCACTTCCTACGTCGCGGACCTGTTTCCCTCCCTTCCCATATCATTAACTACTTCCTCACCACTTCCTACGTCGCGAGCCTTTTTCCTTCCCTTCCTATAGCATTTTAAGAATTGCAGATACTTTGATCTAATCGTCATAAACAGATCCCAGACTTCGCACTGCTACCCTTGACTACAATGTATCGAGTAATCTTCAGTATAATCTTTGCTAGATATTAACATGTGATGTTTTACCTTTTGTACTGTATTTGTAATTTGTTGTATACTGTGGGTAGTTGGCTTATTATGAACACATGCTACTTTACTTTTTACTTGTTATTTAATTCAGCCAACATGGTTACCTAGCAACCCATAAGACTAATGTTAAAAAAAAATTGATTTTCAGTTGCATTTTTCTACGTAATTAAATTTTTGTTGGCAGTTCTAACTGCAGTAAACTCGTTTTTATGCCAGAAATAAACTATTTACAACATTTGAAGAAAATCGTCGGAGCCGTTTTCGAGATCTTGGTGCAAGCATACATACATACAAGCAAACCTTGCTCGTATTAGAGTATAGGATAATAAAAAGTGTTCCAATAGTTACATGAATAACGAAACCCGGTTCTTATAAAAAAAAGTTGAAACATAAATTGAACTAGGTATATGTTGCTCGAAATCGAGCAATCGCAAAGAAGTACATAAAGGAGTTATTTAAAAACAAATAACTTGTTTAAGAACAAATATAATATAAGTTATAAATTCCGATGAGTTTAAAAGAGTCAACCCAAAGATTACGTAACTAATAATAATACTCACAATGTACTTACCAGTTCAACATAACCAACATTTCTTGTAAATATTTTATCATGTTTCAAAAGCTGATCTGGCTTTTAGCATGGTGGAAGGAAAAAACATAGGTGTGCTATTCCCGTCATATTCTGACGTCACTTGGATTGCAAACAAAAGATCACCTGATTATAACTGTCAAATTAGTATATGTATTTGTTTTGATTTGGTTGTTATTGTTTTTATAATGTGTGTTTTTATAAAAAAAAAAACATTAACAATCAAATCAAAACAAATACATACTAATTTGACAGTTACAATCAGGTGATCTTTTGTTTGCAATACAAGGACGGGAATAGCACACCTATGTTTTTTCCTTCCACCATGGGCTTTTAGTGTGTGTGAAATGTTTCCCACTTATAGTCGCAATAGGTTCTCCATGTTGGTCTTTGTCAATGATAATGTAGTTTGCGTGGTATCACCCATTGTCGCCAGTAAGTTTACAAATTTCAGTCTTTATTTTAATAGCACCAAATAACCATTAACTACCTGATTTTCTGCATAACCTCTCTGTCACAATTTTACAATTAACATATGTTCTTCTTCTCACTTTAAATTTCTGACAACAGCTGGAGTTTCATAACAATGTTTGTTTCCCATGTTAATCTTATGGAGAAATACAAAACTTTAAAGGGCCCCAGGTCCTCACTCTCTAATTATTTCCCTAAAAAGAAAGTTTCTTGCACAACTTCACGTTATGCTCTTTCCAATGACACCAAAAACATGTCAATCGGTTCAGTAATTTCAAAAGTAATTGTCACAAAAAACCTGCTTGCGTATTTAATAAGTATAGATTTAACCCTTAGAGTGCCAGGCGAGAAATAAAAGTAACGCTCAAAAAATGCCGATGATTATTCCCGAAGGTCGCGCTTAAAATGCCGAGCGCAATCTGGCGATTTTTAGGTTAAAATTTCGTAAAAATCGAATTTTCGATATTTCGACCAACGAAAATCGATGTATCGCATCTAGTAACTTTCGACTCAATGTTAATATATGGGTTAAAAGAATCCGAGTATCCATTCGGTTGTTATGACAACTGTTCGATCATTACGAAACGTCCGGTCAGCCGGACGTTGGCACTTTTGGCTCGTTCTAAAAACGTCCGGTCGGCCGGACGTCGGCACTTTTGGCTCGTTTTAAAAACGTCCGGTTCCCTGGACGTTGGCACTCAAAGGGTTAAAAAAATTAGGTACATCAATCTCCTTAAAACCAAATCACAAATCCTTCAATCACTCAAAAGTCACAATAAATCATTAATAAAAACACAAACATTAGCTGTTATAAACTCTAGAATATTGTTATGCCTTTTTAATAGTGTGTCATCAAAATATATAAAAAACAACATTTCATTTCATATAATTTTATTCATTTCAGTACATCAATACAGGAATAGCGATCTATACTATATAAAGTTGGAAATGATTAATTTACCAAGTATCGAAATATAAGAAGGTTTCTACTGACTTATACAATCCCCGCCCATAGAACAGGCACCCTGCTAGTTAAATATCAAGATATCTCTTGTTACCCAAGACAAGGTAAGTTAGTGAAAGTAATCATTTTAACAAACATAATAAACAGTATTTTTTTTACCAGGCAGAAGTACAAACAAATATTAAAAATGTAAGAAAAAATCTTCATAAAAACAATAAAATTATCTTAATTTAATAATCTAAATGAGAAAAAAATGTAAATACTGATGTTCAAAATAAATGTTAAACTAATCAACATAATGGATCCAAACTGATTTGTCTCCACTTCTTCAGCCTCCTCTCCCCCAACCTCCATGCCTCCATCGCCATCCACCCTGTCATCAGGCCTGGATAGTGGATATAACAGAACAAAAATTAATAATTAAAACAGTATTCTGAACAAAGAGTCTTTTTATGCATACTTCTATCATTATTTAATGTAGGCTACTCAGTGGCGTACTGAGGGGGGGGGGGAGGGCGGTTTGCACCAGGCCCCACACCAACATAGGCCTCCAAATCAGGGCCGTATTCCCCTAACAGTGGACACTGCGATTGCCAAGGGCTTCGGCCTGGGAAGGGGACTCACTTGGGGCCTCAAAAGAATGCTTTTTCTCTTGGAAAATAAATTTTCCCACAATCTGTTAGAATTAGGGGGTACAATAATCCAAGTTTGTCTTGTATTCTCATGATAGCCGAAAGCGTCTGCAAAGATTGCGTGATCGAAATTTACGACTACCAGCGATCGCGGGTGACGATAATCAGGCCTCGCAACCGCGAAAGATGTTCACGATTGCTCCGAGGATGCCCACAATTTTAACCATTGGCGACCTTGGGAGATGAAGATGATGACCCTGCAATCACGATTTGGTCATTACCGAGGACAATATCGTTTAATTTTGCCACAATTGCAGTAACCGTTTGGATCAATACATAAGTGCCGACCCATATAACCCATTTTGTATAGGACAAAATATAACGTACAGAGTGTGGCAAAATTATCTGACAGTTTTCTTTGCTGCCCTGTCGGGCGAGTGACTGGCGGAAGGTGGTGGGGATAGGGGCGCTTCAAGGCCTACGAGCGGACATTTTTAGTTGCCATGGTTTCAGTGTTGGTCATCACTGAAACAGAAGAGTATTTTGAAGGCTTTTCAAGTTTGTAGGGTACTATTTATTTGGACATAATTTGAACGAGGTTGGAGAAACTTTAAGATAAGTGTATAGAGCTGAATAAAAGGAGATTATAGCAAAATAAATCAAATTTATCACAACAAATTGTGTTATTCTATATTCTTCTAAGGTCTTATTGAACCACGCTTGTACTAAATACCTTATTGATGTATGAGAATTTTTTGTTTCAACTGCTTCTGTTGACAGGGGCTTTTCCATTTGTCTTAAAATTATTGTTGTTTCAGTACTTACCAAATGTAAAAACTATGACATATTCAGAAAAATTATAGTTATGGTGTCAAAAAATATAGCCTACATTTCCTAAAAAACAAAAGCAAATTTTTGGGCACCTCTCGAGTTAAAATGCTGGTTAAATACTAGTAATTCAGGAGGGTTATGCGACATAGGCTTGGGGGCAATGGACACGGCCCTGGTTTTATAAGTATTAAATTTAAGTAAATGGCAAAACTTACCATTAGTTAGTTCTCTTCAATCTTAGTCTTTACTTCGCCCCATCCTCGATCTCCTCTTCCTCTGGCACCTCTCCCCTGTATTCTCCAATGTCGGAGGATATTAATTACAACGCCCCCATTTTACTGGTAGGCTTCAGTTCTGTACAGAAATATTGCAAAAAATAGTGTTATACAAATAATTTTAGTCCAACAAATAATACAAGTGTGTACACTCCTTTCTATATTTGCGATATTCAAATAGGTACAGCTAATAGGAAAATGTTTGAGCAAATCTGGGTCAAGTTAGTACAAATATTAGAATTTGTAACAATAATTTGGTTTAGACAAAATAAATTGGTTTAACTTGTTCGCTACCACAATTATATGGAATTTACGTTCGCATAGACCACCGACGCATATTTGCGTCAGCTGATCACATTGAAATAGACTAACGACGCACACTTGCGTCGGTGTTCAATGTTATTAATCAGTGTATTTCTTAGCAACGGTCTATTTTAAAGCCCTGATTTTATCGTATCGGTCTAGAGGGATATCTGCCGCAAATGTGCGTCGCTTGGTCTGTGGATATGACGATTGGTTACGTCACACAACAGTTGGCAACATTGTTGTTTACATTGTGCATTCCGCGACATCTCAGAACAGATGTAAACGTTATAACCTTTGCAGTTTTGGCGAGTGGTGGAGTTTCTTGATTTGTTTGTGTAAAAGCTTGAAACAACCAAATTTACAACGACGCTTAAACGTGTGTCGCCTGGTCTATTGAAACGAAAATGTAGGTAATCTTTTTATCTAGATTTCATTAAATAAACTGACCGACGCATATATGCAGCGTTTTGAAAGTTGCTCCAAACGATAAATAAAAACATTATTTATTGCTTACTTATTCACTTAAGGTTAATATGAAGACAATTCGTCCATTTAAACGATATTTCTCTTTTGGTCTGTTGGCAATGTTATTCCTATATCACTTGGTCTGTAAGCAACGTCATGATCATTCCTTTTGGTCTGTAGGAGTGACCGGACCAACGCATATGTGCGTCGCTCGGTAGCGAACGTGTTAAACATTAATTATATGTTATTTCCCAATTTGCAAAAATGCAAGCTCTAGCCTAATTAAGACATTTCCAAACAACATGTTTCGAGATGTATCCAAATACATTTTAAGTAGGGGCCTAGTTTTAATTTTTTATAAAAAAAACTATAAATTTGCATAAAGATTATAATTAATTATCCTTATGTTCCACCAAAAACTATTAATAATAGTTTATTTGTGTAGGTAACTAGTGGGCGAAGTGGCACTTTGCTACACATAAGAGAAATGTTTACGCACGAACCGTAGGCGAGTGTGGAAAGTTTCTCGAGTGCAGCAAAGGCAGTTTGCACTTGTGTTACACATTATATTTTCCCTAAAGTTACCATAAAACATATAAATAATTAGTTGTTCAAACTCTGTTCAACACTAAATGAAATGATTCAGTTTGGATCAGTTTCTATGGTTGTCGATAATATGGAACCCACCCAAATATGGACAGTAAGTTTAGGCCTAGGACATAAAAATGTTCTTTCCATTTATGATAACCCAACCTAACATAACCGCCGCAAAGCGCTGTATAGCCTATCTGTAGCCTCCGGATAATACTTACCAAAGTACCGATTTGAACATTGAATAACTTAGTTAACAAACATAGCCTAGAATCTATCACAAAGGGGAAAGAATGTTCACCTCACTTAAGTTATGGTTAGACCAAGTAACATTATCACGGCAGTATGGTAATTGCCTCCAGGGTCCACAACTCTGGTCTCTCTTTCTCTCTCATCTGCAGTGATGTCGATGGCAATGTCGTCCAGAAAGGTTAGTCCTCTTAACTTATTGGTTCAAGACAATATTTAAAATAGAGACCAATTTGGGTTCAGGTCAAATTACAGCCTTTGCTCCAGGATCATCTATAAAATTAACATTGATGTCATCAGCAATGAATTATATAATCCAAGTCTAGTCTTACACCAAATACAAACAGCTCTAGAATATTTGACAGCACATAATTTTACGTCCTACACTCATTCCAATGAATATATTTCTTTAATACTTTCTTACTTATTACTTGGCGACCATACAAAGTATAGTCTGATTTTTACCGGAGTGCGGCTGGAGCTCAGCCCTACCTGTGAGGGACCCGACTCACGCACGCACACTCACCACCGTCCTAATTGCCTGAAATTGCCCCGATCCCCTATTCACTAAGTAGAAATATAAGATCTGTTGTATGATACCTCAAAATTGCAATTCATTTGATTTTAGATATACAGTAAAATGGTTAGTGTTAATAAATTTGTTGTTTAATTCAATGAAAAATGAGTCCAAACACGAAATGATTATGACAAGTAGCTAGCTAATAAAAACGTGTTAAAATATTCGTAGCTTTTACACTTTGTAAGCAAAATATATATTGTTTGGTAGGTATCATTTTACTAAGCATTTTGAGCTGAAGTCAAAATCGTTACCACATTTTATAACAAACGTAAAATTAAAAAAAATTATAGTTCAATTTCCGTGAGCCAGCGATGACTCGTGCGGCAGGACAATGGTCCGTCCCACGTCCGTCCTAATCCCTTGCGTCTGTGTGTGTGAGGCCTGTGTGTGTGAGAGTATGGTCGACCCTTCAGCCAGCCGATTTCCGTCAACAATCACACTATAGGTACCGTATTTTAAGACAAGTATGAATGGAAATGAGTGTAGGATCAGGATGAGTGGCGCGATCTTGTAGTCTTGTTAGTGACTAAGGCCGACATTCCTTAGACACAGCTGTTAATTAATAGCCCATACAGCTAATGGCAACTAAGGGACCTACGGTTTATAGTGGAATCCGAACCACATTATTGCCTTGGTATATACGAATTGGTCTAATTATCAGGATAGTACTGCGGATAGTCGTAGTACTCACTCGTGCGGACGTTAATCCACACCAGGGAGTATCGCATCCACAGTGCATGCCTATAAATATCCACAATTCGTAACCTCCTAGTAGTTGGATTACAGGACGACGCCACCCGTCCCAGTCATATTGATTATTTCATTCAATAAACTTAGGCCTATATCAATTTTGGGTAATGTTAGGGTAAAACTTAACCTAACGGAATGAAATATTCAAAATATTAAATAGTCTTGTATTAATATCTTTCATTTGAATGAATGTAGGACATAAACTAAAGTGCAGCCAAATATTTTTACATAAACAAATTTTTAAAGTTGACACTGGGTCAGTGGGAAAAAGAGACAATCCTAATAGCCTAGGGATAGTGCCTATTCAAACATTTGCTACAATATTGCTTGATGATCCAGAATTAGCCTACGAATAAGCTGTATCTTAGGTTCTTGTTGGTGACTTACCTAAGTTAGTGTCTGGTAGGACTACTTAATGTTATTAAGTTATCACGTTGATTACGTTTTTTACCAAATAAAAATTAACTTATTTCACATTATTCCTTAAAAACTATTGTTTGTAACACTCGAGTCATCTATTTTCTTGTAAACAAGGAAAGAAATAAAAAAGATAAATATTTACAATATAAAAGTTTTTAGTCAATATATGGCCAGCTTGAAGATGTCCGTCGGAATTCGGAATCAAATATTGCGATTGCGACTCGTGAGTTGAGGAACTGAACGATGAATTAGAACAACTCCTTTTCAAGAGTAGCTCTGAAGAACGGGTGCTTGTCGATATACTGGGACTATTTCAGTGTCGACAAAATGAAACTATTTCATTGTCGACAATATGGGATGTCGACAATTTGTGGTGTCGATCATTTGCGACGTCGGTTATTTGGGATGTCGGTTAAGTGGGAATATTCCAGTGTCGACAAACTGGGAATAATTCAGTTTCGATCAATTTCTACGGTTGTCGATATTATGGAACCCACCCTTGTATTCATAGGTACCATTCGATTCGCCACTCGGCAAATTGTCTCTCTTGACTCTGTGTATGTGCTAGTTCTTCTTCTCAAAGTTAGCGTTAGCCAGCGAGCCAATCAAATCAGCTACTCCACTCTCCCACTCACACTCACGCTAGCCAGCCAGCCAGACCGCTTTATTTCAGATTTCAGTTAATCTTCAGTTTCTTGTTCTTGTTCAAAAGTTCCCTTCCCTTTTAACTTTTAACGGTACTGGTTTTTAAGTTTTATTATTACATTTATACAAATAAGTTTAATTTATGGAGCTGCAAGATCTTAATAGTTTTCCAGTATTAATGTAATTTTCGTGCAAATTCATGGAAGCAGCTTATCGAGAATTTAAATCATTGGTACTCTTTCAATAGCTTACTGAAGGTAAGTTGGTTATAATACTAACTTTCTTTCTCACGATGGCTAACTTTCAAATGGTTGTTTTTACTTCTCGATAGTAATAAACTCTGTGATATTAAGTTAGTTTTAGACCTATTTATTAACTTAAAATGCCATTTTTTTCCGTAGACTTCAAAGTACAATTTGTAACTCACTTCTCATGAAAAATGTTTGACTCTTCCAATACATTTGTAATGTAATATGTCACATTTGTAATACTTAAAATAAACATGTGTTATAGGCCTTAACTCAATTTTATTTCATCAGTCAAAACGTTACCATGTAGGCCTAAGCTAGTAAAATATGGAACCAAATTTTTGTTTTGGTTTGGTTGCCAGACTTAGGCCTTGGCTATTACTTAACTTATTTGCTTTCTTCATCCTTGACCAACAAAAGTTGGATGGATTGCGTTATGTTCATAGCTCTCTCACAAATGACCAGACTGTAAGTTATTCTTTGTTCTTTAAGTTATTTGTTTAATACTTAAACTTACCTGCACTCCTTATTGACTTGTGCTTTATAAAAAACAAATAGCTTAGGCTATCCCTACTTAAAAGTCTAAGACTTTGGTCGGAATCAAAAGGAAAGAAACGGGACTAAAGGCGTAAAAACTTAGGTAAGAGGTAGGTAAACTTAGGTAGCCTAGGTCCTACTGTATTGATAGAGGTATGAATAGCTTAAGTTCTAAGAAGTGTTTTCTGCTATCGGCCAGTTGGCCTAGGCTAAAGTCGTTAAGCCTAGACTAGATCATGATCAAATCATTTCAAATCAAATAGGCTAATTTATTGTCCATAAACTAGGCCTACTTTTAATGCATAGGTCTAGGCCTAATTAGGCTTTGGGCCTACTCATAGGTCTAATTTTCCTAGTTGGTTTTGTTTGAGCAAAAGAAAAACTAATTAGCCTACCCCTGCCGCATCAAACCTGCAGACTAAGTGAATTTCCATTTGCCTGATCTGATTTTCAATTAGGCTTACTTACGGTAAGTTTACTTAAATCTACTTCATTAACTACCGGTACCATGTGGGGGTAATACTGAACTTTTACTGCTTATGTTTATTATTTAGCCTAAGTTATTATTTTTTTTTTCCTAGGACGCTAGGCACGAGCCTGGGATTGATAATGCCGCAACCCCTAGGTCTACCCTAAAGTTTTTCATCTTACTTCAGGCTATACATTTATATATTTTTATATATAGGTAATATGTGTCCGATAGCGCGATAACTCGAGCAAAAATGATCCGATTTTAATGAAATTTGGTACAAACGTGTGATCCTACGTTTGTTCGAACGAGTTTGTGATCCAGCATGATCGGACGGACCATGGGAACAGGGGTTTATGGTAAGTTTTATGGGGTACAAATGGGTTTTTTTCAATTTTTGACCATAAAAACAGAAAATGTTGCAATTTCTTTTTAAACCGTTTTGTAGAGCTTAAAAAAATAAATAATTTAGGCTAGTATAATGAAGGGCTGTTGTATGCCTAGACGGTCACGGAGAATATTCAAAAATAAGTGTAATTTAAAATTCCCATGTTATTCTTATGAAGAAAATGAAAATTGTTGTAGTTTACTTGTTTATGGATATATTGATAACATTTAGCAAATTTATTTATTTCATCCTATACTATTGACGTATGGTCAAAAAACACTTTTTACCTTCCCCGTAGCAGCAAACCTAAGCACTTGTTAAATCTAATCTTATTTAAATAGGGAATAAATAACTTATGTCTTATTTATGAAAATATTTTAGTACAAATGTAATCAGACAAGTTGAAATTCGCTTACTCTGCAGGTTTGCTGCGGCGGGGGTATGGTGCACCAGTAACAGCTGCGGCTGACTGTCAAGCACCCAGCCGCAGAATTTTTGTTTCGGATCATAAGTCAGGACTCCGGTTCTTGATTGACACCGGCTCTGACGTATCATGTTAAATCCAAAACGTCTTCTACGAGACCGTCGCACATCTACAGACTTTGAACTTAGTGCCGCCAATGGTACTGTAGTACAATCAAGATTTACGGAACCTGTTCTATGACATTGGACCTAGGCCTTCGCCGTAGTTTTGCATGGCAGTTCACAGTTGCAGATGTCAGTGTTCCAATCATTGGCTCAGACTTCCTCAGTTACTACCATTTGCTTCCTGACTGTCGTTTGTTGCGACTTCATGATGCCAAAACTGGACTTATCACAGGAGGACAACTTTCCGTTACGGTTCAATATAGCGTGAAATCCGTAGTCACTAGCCTACTTCTCCCCTCTCTAAAATCTTACATGAATTCCCTGAAATTACTCACCCTCCAGGATTGCCTCGAGAAGTGAAACACCAGACAGTACATCACATACACACGGCTCCAGGACCGCCTGTATTCTGCCGACCACGACGGCTGGCACCTGAAAAGCTCAGCATTGCAAAGAGTGAATTTGCCGACATGGTAAAATGTGGTACAGCACGTCCGTGGGCTTTACCCCTGCATTTGGCGCCGAAAGGAGAAAATGGACGGAGACCGTGTGGAGACTACCGTGCGTTGAATGCACGCACCACTCCAGATAGGAATCCTGTTCGAATCATTCATGATCTTTCAAATAATCTTTCAGGCTGTAACGTAGGTATTTTCTGTCATAGATCTAGTTAAAGCATACCAACAAATCCCTGTACACCCAGATGACATACAAAACTGCTATCACAACTCCATTCGGCCTTTTTGAGTTTCCATTCATGACTTTTGGGTTACGTAATGCTGGCCAAACATTCCAGCGTTTCATAGATGAAGTGACCCAAAACCTAGATATTACGTTCAGCTACTGTACATTGATGATATTTTAGTGTTTTCCCTATCAGCTGGAGAACATGAGCAACATCTTAGGACTTTGTTCAAAAGACTCCATTCCTATGGTGTTATTGTAAACTCGTCCAAGTGTGTTTTTGCAATGCCTGAAGTGACGTTTTTAGGCTACTAAGTTTCAGCATCAGGTGTTTACCCTCCACAAAACCGAATAGCTGCTCTTAAGGAGTACCAACTACCTAAGACAATGCGTGGTCTTCGACAGTTCCTAGGTATGATCAATTTCTATCGTAGATTCTTACCTAAAGCTGCAGAACTCCAAGCACCTTTACACTCTCTGCTTGCTGGTGCAAATTGCAAGGGATCACTTCCTGTGCCTTGGACCCCAGAGACTGAGGAGGCGTTTCAAGCTTGCAAGTCTAGTTAGTCATCAGTGACACTCCTATATCATCCGAAACATGACGCCCCGCTTGGACTGTTTAAAGACACCTCTGACGTCAGTGTATGAGCTTGCCTTCAACAATTTGTTGAAAATTCACTTTCACCAAAGCAAAGCTCTTGGCTGGCGTACTACCGTGAACTTCTTGCTGTGTATGAAGCAGTACAGCATTTTCGTCATTTTTTGGAAACCACAGCATTTACCATTTTTACGGATCATAAGCCACTCATCTTTGCTTTTCATCAACGTCGTGAGAAACTTCCACCTGTTCAACTACATCTGCTTTCATTCATATCCGAGTTTTCTACAGACATAAAACACATCGTAGGTTCAGAAAACATTGTTGCCGATGCTTTATCACGTGTAGAGGCTATTTCATGTTCATTGGATCCTGAGTCAATTACAAAGCTCAGATGACAAACTCATCAACCTCATAAACAATAACAATTCATCTCTCAAAATACAGAAGATCCAAATCCCTGGAACAAACTCATTCATCTTTTGTGACACTTCAAAAGGGACCCAAAGACCTTACATTCCAGTTGAACTAGGGAAGAGAGTATTTCATTTTGTTACATGACCTTAAGCCACCCAGGCATTAAAGCTACTGCAAAGCTTGTAGCAGATCGATTTGTCTGGCCAAGTATTCAAAAAGATTGTCGTAACTGGGCTCGTACTTGTGAGCAATGCCAACGTTGCAAGGTAACACGAAATGTTCATGCTCCTCTAGGAACAATTTCTTTACCATCATCACGCTTTGAGCACATCCATGTTGACATAATTGGGCCTTTACCACCAGCAGGACCATACAAATACTGTCTTACAGTCATAGACCGTTACACTAGGTGGCCTGAGGTTCATCCTTTAAAGGGGATTACTGCAGAAGAAGTCGCTGAAGGTCTAGTCTCGTGCTGGTTTTCTCGTTATGGTGCTCCTTCAAGAATAACTAGTGATCAAGGCCGCCAATTCGAATCATCCTTCTTCAAGTCCCTTGGAAAAACTTTCAGCTCTGAAAGAATCAGGACTTGCAGTTACCATCCCTGTGCCAATGGATTGGTGGAGAGATTCCATCGTCATCTCAAAGCTTCACTGATGTGTCATCACGACAAATCCTGGCTGGAAGCTCTTCCGATTGTTCTCCTAGGTATAAGAAGTGCGTAATGCGAGGATCTTCAAGCATCAACGGCAGAAATTGTTTTCGGACAACAGTTGAGACTTCCACGAGAATTGTTTGATCTCCCTGTTGACGGACCCAGGCATGAAGATCCTACTGATTATGTTGTACGACTCCGTCAACACATGTCTTCAATCAGACCTGTCCAAGCTTTATGCCACGTCAAACCCAAAACTTTTATATTCCAGGATCTTAGAAAGTGCACCGATGTTTTCCTAAGAGATGTCTCTGTGAAACATGCTCTTCAGCCTCCCTACAACGGACCATATCCTGTAATTTCTCGTGATGAAAAATCCTTAGTAATATCACAGAATGGCAAGCAAGTACGAGTGAGCTTAGACAGGGTGAAGCCTGCATATGTGTTACCTGACAAATGTAATCATCCAACAATCAAAGAGCCTCAAAATATACAAATATAATCTTCGAACACATCCCTCAACCTCCAAACCCGTCATCATTGTTCAGAAACTATACAACTCGATCTGGTTGAAATGTAAAGCTAAAGCTTCCTGGACTTCCAGTCTCTGCGGGGGGCTGATGTGGCGTCAACTTAGCCACATCTGTGATGCCTTTGGTCTATACTTTATTTAATATTTATTATGAACAGCTGTTGCTAGTTTTGTTAAACATTTAGTTTTGACTGTTATGATTTAGCAGATTTCTTCATTCGTTTGTAAATAAAACTTAGTCAAATATTCGTTCATATAGTGGTGATATTATTTCATACAGATTACTCACACTATACATTTATGATTTTCTTCTGTCTTCTAGTAAACACCTTTTACCCCCCTAAGGAGGAAACAAAATATTTAGTTCTAACAAAGATGTGTGGAGCTTAAACATTTTTACTTATAATGTTTAATAAAAGGTACAGCCGATAAGTAATGAGGTATTAACTTAAGTACTTTCATTTTAAAGGGGGAAGGGACTTTAAACTCATCCTTTATATATATATATCTCAGATCTTTTATTTTATTTACTTTTATTTACTTCATCAAAATAACTTAACTTATATTTGTAGGAAAATCATCCCCACAATTAACAGGGGTCGTTTTATAGTGGTCCATATATTTGTTTTAGACATGGATTCCGTTCAAGTTGCCATACGTGTCAGGCCCTTAGTGCCTCATGAGTTGGAGAGTGGATGTAGATCTTGTGTGGAAGTCATTCCTGAGGCACAGCAAATCGTAACCAAAATGAGGAATGACAAGTTTACTTTCAACTACGTGTTCGACAGCAGCACACCACAAATTGACATATATGAAACAGCTGTTCAGAACCTAGTAAATCAGCTTTTCAAAGGTATTTGCCATTATTTTGTAACATTTAGTTTTGATATTATTTTATAATATAAGTTGAAGTAAAATTTTATAATATAAGTTGAAGTAAAAATATGAGAATTTTTGAAGTGCCTTTTTAAGTTAGGCCTAACACTGTTCTGGGCTATTATTCTCTAATTGCAGTTTAACTTGAACCCTCACTATATAATTCCAACTCGGTTGATACAGATATAGTAAATTTGGAAGCCATTTGGCATCTGCTGACTTTCCTCACAGCAAAGTTAGGAATGTGTTAGGCTTTTTGTGAACTGTTCTGCCACTGTCCAGGCTAGGTAGCTTACTTTGGTACACTTTTGTACTTTAAATTCAGATTACTGTAACTTACATTAGTCATGATTTTTTACATAGTATGCAAATGTGTATCATTATATGCCTACCTACAAGGGATAGGCTACCCGTACGGTCCTGGAATAGCACTGCCTTGGCATTATGTAGGGTACTAAAACTATTTGTATGTCTATAACGTTTTCTGAAATGAAAGTAGGTAGGCCTAGTAGATAAACTAACCTCTATAAGACTAGGAGGTTGGAATAACTTACTGACTGAAATTTTGATTCAAGTTTATGTGTTTTAATTTTCAGCAAACGTATCAAAACAATGTGGTCTTATATTGTAGCAAATGTTTTTGGAAATATAGCTTTAACCCAATGAGTCCATATACAAAGGAGGGCCTACTGGACGACACTACGCTCACCTTAATCACCATGCTAAAAATAGTTACAGTGGCTGCATTGCGTCAACTTGTGAAACTACTGAGCTCATCCCCAGAGTTCCATCATGTCCAATCAGCTTTGATATTGTGATGCTATGGTGTCTAGTTTAACATAGGTAGCTCACTGTTTTCTCTGTGAATATTGTCTTTATCTACGTCTCGTGACATTATTATTGTTTTAGGCTATAATGTCACAGTACTGGCATACGGTCAAACTGGCTCCGGTAAGACTTACAGCATGGGGACATGTCCCTCTGCTAACCCTGCAGATCAGGGCATTATTCAGAGAGCTATCAACGACATGTTTGTTAAAATAGAAAATGATGACGACTGGATGTTCAATGTTAGCGTCTCTTTCCTCGAGGTAAGCTTGCCAAAATTATTTTAGTATTAAGATCTATCATTTGTAGAGCCGTCAACTTTTTTATGGAGTTTCATTAAATGTTGTTAGGTTGTTTTGAGTTGAGAAAATTAAATTGAGTGCTCTGAATTCTCGCCAAAATCTCTGTTTGTTAGGTAAGGTTGGCATGATGGCATTTTTGCGACATTGACTATTGGATTCTAAAGTAGACATCCCACCTTTATGGACCAGCTGTCGCCAATTTTTTATTGATAAAAAACATGGTTGTGTGAGATCAAAATGCGTTGGTGCATAAAATTATATTTTTTAACTTATATTTTGCTGCTGGCGTAGTTGATGCGTCATAATAGTTGCTAAAGCTCACAATAAGTCCTTCCACCTGTTAGAATTGGTAAATAGTTCTTATAATCAACAGAAATTTTGATCAGCGCATTCTGTTGGTGGCTCACATCAACTACGACGATTTTGATTTTAAACATTTGACAGTTTTAACATGGGATGGAATCAATAATTGGAGTTGTATCAATAATTGTCAAAGAATGTGATTAACGTTACCATGGTAACCTATATAGATTTTAGGGGTCTGTTGTACAGAAAATTTAGGTCGGTACAGTTCGGTACGGTACAATATTTTGTACCTCGGTTCTCGGTACAAAATCGGTACAGTACGGTACGTGGATTTAGGTATTTTTGCGGTTTTCTTCTCAGAATTGTATTTAAACCATTATTTTAAATTTTAATACATTGACATTAGTATGGAAATGGATTATCCTACATTCATGGTTTTCTAACAACAATTACTGTACCAATCATTATTAAAACCTTTTACTCCTAAGATGATTGTGCCAAGAAAAAAAACACAGTTAAGATAAAGGCTTTACCTATTTTACTCTTATATTCTGAATAACCATGACAAATTTTGTTAGGAATAAACATTTTTGAAGCATTAATTTGATAAGATAATTTTACACAACTGGCAAATTATACAAGGCATGTTTTTTAAGTATGTACCGTTTTTAAATTGCTCCGTTCCAGCGCTGCAATTGGCATTTTGGACACTTTCGCTGTATATGTACATCTATTGGCAAGCCCTAGCCGGAAATTCCACAACAATTGGCCGTGTTTACATCCGGTTTCGAGCATTCAAAATGGTGCCGCCAATTGAGACTGCCGCCGACTGTGAAATGTGCGCTGTAATTAGATTTTTAAGTGTTAAAGGTGTGAAAGCCATTGAAATTTATCGACAGATTAGTGAGATGTATGGTCAGAACATTATGAGTGCTGGAATGATATGCAAGTGGGTAAGGGCATCTAAAGACGGCCCCACCAACGTTCATGATGAGCAATGCACTGGGCGGCGTCATTGTCCCCAGTACCCAATGCGTCGCTCATCATAAACGTTGGTGGGGCCGTCTTTAGATGCCCTTACCCACTTGCATATCATTCCGGCACTCATAATGTTCTGACCATACATCTCACTAATCTGTCGATAAATTTCGATGGCTTTCACACCTTTAACACTTAAAAATCTAATTACAGCGCACACTTCACAGTCGGCGGCAGTCTCAATTGGCGGCACCATTTTAATTGCTCGAAACCGGATGTAAACACGGCTGATTGTTGTCGAATTTCCGGCTACGGCTTGCCAATTGATGCACATACACAGCGAAAGTGTCCAAAACGCCATTCGCAGCGCTGGAACGGAGAAATTTAAAAACGGTACTTACTTAAAAAACGTGCCTCGTATATCCATTATTTATCTCAGGCTCAATCCAATTTTCTTAAAGCGTTCTTCCAGAGAATCAAAAGACCAAGGCCTAGATCTAATTATTTAGGAGGGCCTTTATAAATTGAGTATCAAACAATGAGGTTAACAATGAGGGTAGCAACAGTCAATATCATAATTCTAGTTCATACAATTTAGATTGCATAAAGTACCTAAATTACAATTAAAAACAAAAACATTTAAACCTTAACATGCATATCCAACAATATAAGACAATGATACAGAACATGGAATGACATAATTTGAGATCGAGCAGGCTTGCATAACGGAGAAAAATTATTCGCAAGCAACAACGCTTGTAGTTTCTGTCAATAGAAAGATAAAATATCCATTTATAACAAATATTTTAACTCATAAAATAAGATTGTAGATTAGTTACAAGTTTAATATGAAGTGATAAACAGTTGTATGGCAGTAGGCAATGGCCAGTGGCAAATTTAGGTATTCATGACAATTCTGACTGAGTTAACTTAGAGTAGAGATAAAATTGATTTTTTTGTGATTAATTTAAAACTATTATTTTTATGATAAAATAGAACTGGAGAAAGTCGTTAGGAATAAAAGTGATAAATGATAAAATATTAATGGATTTGGGACTGCTTATGGGTTTTTATTGCATCGTCACCCTAGTAATAAATTATGAAGACTAGAGGTCGTCCAGTGGTTGAAAACTCGACCAAAAACAATGTAATGTACAGAATTCTCTATTTACACCCAAACTGTATGTATATAAAACATGCGATTGTAAGTTCTTACGTTTGTTTTGATTTTTTTTTTATATTTCGTTGTTATTTCGTCACCCATAAGACCCATATACATTTTTAAAATTTTAAATCCAATTGTTGTGCTTATTTTGTGTCTATTTAATTTATGAAGGGGTTCTGCACATCTTCAGGAAAATATCTTTTAGTACAGTATGTGTAGATTTTTATTGCGATGGACACGAGCTGAGAAAAAAGGTTTTAAAGAAACATGCTTGCCTGTTAATATATAGATGTAAACAAACATCTGATAAGCATTTTTATGTGCTTGGAACCAATTACCTGACTACGATAGTAATTTGAAAGTAATTTATTATTATAATAAGCTGTATCCAGGACCATTAATTTCTACCCAATAATATAGGATGGCTGTGTTGAGTTTTGAAGCATCTAAGGCTGTCCTGACAGTTTAAAATTAGTTATTAAGTTAATTGTCATTATATTTAATCACTCTTATGACAAATAATTTAAATTAACTTATTATTGTGTGATAGCCTACAAGTATTAGATCATACATTCATTCTTTTAACACAGATAAATATTCTTATTTTCTATCAGCGTTCATCTTAAGTCGCCTTTATTTTCCCAATCCCACTGATCACATACCTAACTGGTTTTTGTTTCAGCTGTACAATGAACAGCTGATTGATTTGCTGAGCGAGAACAAGAACAGCACAGTAGATCTGCGTGAAAGCAATCGAGGAATCATAATTCCTGGACTGACACAAAAAACAGCTTTAACTGCAGCTGATGTCCTCCAATGTCTACAGCAGGTTATAAAGCATTTTTTGTTTTACGAGCAAACAATAATATTGTGAATACTGGTGAAAATAAACACAATTCTGTTTGTGAATCGTCCAACTCAAAAAGTGTTGAAAAGCATATCACTTCACTGTTCAAAAAATGTTTGACTGAAGCTGAAAATGTTATTCGTAATAGCTAAAACATGCCGATTATGTGTATCTCTTTCCTAACTATCACCATGATAAATAAATATCACTTACTGTTTGATCTTTGATATTTTTCTCTTTTGACATAGAATACTTTTTCAGGGCTCAGAAAACAGAACCACGGGAGCAACTGCAATGAATGCCCAGTCTTCAAGAAGTCATGCAATATTTACCATCTACATTCGCCAGACAAAAAGATCTGATGAGTGAGTGCTCGTTTTCTTTTCTTTTTTTGACTCCACGAATCAACTGGAACCAATATATGAAAATGTCTTCAATATTTTGTAGTTTACATAAATTTATGTTAGCCTACTTGCATTTGTCATACTTTGGGTAAAATGACTTACCTATGAATATTTTAAAATCTCATTTAAGGCTTAACTGAGATAAAATGTTGTGATTATTTCCACTGCTAACAATATTTTTTCCATCATAGGCAACTTAAGGACCACATAATTTTATATTTAAATCAAAATTAATATTTGTATCACTAATTTAAATAAAGGCAATGAGCTTAACACATTTTTTATGTAGGCCATATACAAAATTTCATTTGTTAAAATTTAATAGCCCGCATCTTTTTCATTACACCTGAGACTTTCCTGATTCAAAATCTGATTTTCAGAGATGACGCAATGTCTGCCAAATTCCATCTGGTAGATCTCGCTGGATCAGAACGGTCCAAGAAAACCAGAGCTGAGGGAAAACGTTTTATAGAAGGAGTGAACATCAACAAAGAGTTGTTTGTATTGGGGAACGTCATCTCCTCATTGTGCGACGGGTCTGCGTTTGTCAACTACCGAGACAGCAAATTGACCAGGCTGCTGCAAGACTCTCTCGGTGGCAACGCGCTGACTCTTATGTTAGCTTGTGTCAGTCCTGCTGACAGTAACTTGGACGAAACAGTCAATACGCTGCGGTAAGTTGGTGCAGATTTATATCTTTGCCTACAGTTGGTTCTGTAATTGATAATACGTGTCAAAATTGTCAGACACACTCAGTAGTCCAAATGGGCTTAATAAGTGATCAGCTGATGTCTGTACAGTTCTGGAATTGTTTATGTTTTGTTTTCAATACCATGATTGGTTGTCTTTATAAAAAGAATGTCTTAAAAATGATCGAACTGAACAAAAATAGTCAAAGAGTTTATTATAAGGCATTGTACAACAGTTGAGTTTTCTTAGCTCCTAGCTAGGTTGGTTTCAATATTGTTTATGATAACCCCACACTCTTCTGGTCCTGTAAGAGTCGGATCAACTATATTTATATTTTTTATCATAGATTGATCTCATTTCAATTAATTGTCTATTGATTCCAGCTGTGATTATATTTTTAACCTTCCATCGGGCGCATCACGGAAGTTACCTCTAGGTCACTACTTTTTTCGTTATAAAAACCATAGTATGTATTTGGCACGGCTGTGGCCTGATTTGCCTCACGAACCACTTTTGCGGAATCGGTTTTGTATACTCTTACCCCTTTCCCAATTGTCAGTTGACCTTGGAGAGTGGTTTGCGTCACGGGTTTCCCAGAGCCTAGTTCCGTGTGCGCCCTTGTGTTTGACCGTATTTAGCGATATTATAAAATGGATGAAGAAGAACTAATTGCGAGATTTTTGGCTAGTGTTTAAAGGGAGGACAAGGAACAACATTTTGAAGAAAGAACTAATGGTGCGTGAGTTGGTAAGCTTTTTTTTCATGAAAAAGAGCTTTGTAAAATGTTTTTTTACTCATCATTGCATAGTTTTTGTACTCCCGAAGATAACTTCCGTGAGCGCCCTTTGGTGTTTGAAAATCAATGCACCCGACTGAAGGTTAAAGTGTTAATTAGTTGGCTCTTGCCTACATTGGTTACTTACATAGCATTGGTGTCTCAGGTACGCTGACCGAGCGCGAAAAATCAAGAATAAACCAGTCGTCAATCAGGATCCTCAGAAGCAGGAAATTAACAGACTCAAGCAAACAGTGAGTTATTTGCTTTTGTGTGTGTGTGTGTGTGTTTATTTAATTTTTTTTAAGAAACAGTAGGTTTTTTTTATTTCATGCACAAATCTATTAAAAACTTCAAATTCCATTATCCGTCAATCATGTTTTTTTTCAAGTTTTTTTTCCTTTGTCAAGGAAAAGGGTTCCTTGTAGAAATGTATGAAGGAACATTAAAATTCAACTGCTGGGTCTATCCATATCAAGTGACCCAACAGGAGTTGCTTGAGAATTTTAAAAATAAATAATGTTTTTAACCTAGAAACCTATACTAGTTCTGAGCTCAAAAGTGATTTTACACTTTTTTTCTCTTTTGTTACTTCTACGGTGGCGATTTTTGTTTTGCAGAACTCGCTAATTTTTGCTTATGTAAGGGTTTGTGTTAACTTGCATAGCTCGGTAACCATGAACACTAGAGTGATGAAACAAAAATCATTTTAATCTGGAAGAAACAGCCTAAATATTATGTTCAGTACATATTTATTGAAATGTGTATCAACAGTTTTCAACCCATCTCAACATTTCATAAGAAAATGGAGAAATTCCAACTTATGAGTAACCTATTCCCCTGTTACTTATGTTACATAGATTGAAGAACTCCGACTTCAAATAGTTTCTAACCAGCCTGGCACATCATGCCCTCCTGAACATTCCGAGCTGATAGAAAAAAATAAACTATTTATGGAGAAGAATAAGAAGCTAGGAGCGAGTCTGGACAGGGCACTAATGCAAACCACTTCGCTTTTGGAGCGTACACAGATTGTAAGTTAATATTATTATTTTTTTGTCAATTTCCCATAATGGGAATTAGCTATTACCGTAGGTCTCATGGTAAGACTTGGACCCAGGACCGATTCACTTTTAGGTTTTGAGTCCACGAGACACCAAAAACACCATCCGTTTGAATTCATATATGTACGTGTAAACCTACATTATTTTATTCAAACGAGTTCATGAACCAGCATGATCGGACTATAGAAACAGGGATTTATAGGGGATTTTATGGTGTAAAAGTTTTTTATGTTTTAGATTTTTAGTCTTTTGAGAATACTTTTATTTATTTAATGGTGAGTGTTTTTGCCTTCTTACTTTAAACTTTGAATAACCTCTTAATTCGTTTACAAGAAATAATCAAGTTGTTTATTTAAAAATGTTTAAGTGTCCATAAACTATTTACCCTGTAGGCTACTTTATTTAAACACTGGCACAGAATTGATTTTGCTTGAAATCGTCTGCAATTTCACAGATTTTTTTGTCAACCTCAGTCTGAAGTTATAATTTTTATAACTGTATGGGTTTAGAAGAAATAGCTATCGGATACAGGAAACATTCTCTTTACAATTTTCAAGTGGCGTGTTGATACCAAAACTTACTAAGGATGGACGGGATTGAATTTTTAGTTCGGGACGGGTCGGGGTGGGATTTTTATTTCCTTCCCAATTTTCGGGACGGGATTTTTTTCTGTGCATAAAAAGAAAGTCTTGAGTATTGCAGTTACCAAAAAAGACAAATGAAATCAATTTTTAACGTTTGTGGCACTGATGTATAAAAAGCAAAAAATGGGTAACAATTTACAGGTACCTATAGAAACTTGTTTCTCGTGGTCGAAATGACTCGCGGTCACGGCTTGATCGTCGGTATGACTCGCGGTCATGGCGTGATCGTCGGATGACTCCGCGGTCACGGCGTGATTGTCGGTATGACTCCGTGGTTATGGGGTGATTGTCGGTATGACTCGCGGTCACGGTATGAACCGTGGTCACGGGGTGATCGTCGGTATGACTCTGCTGTCACACAGCACGATCGTCGTCATGACTCTGCGGTCATGGCGTGATCGTCGGTATGACTCCGCGGTCACGGCGTTGTCATTGGTATGACTCCGCAGTCACACAGCACGATCGTCGTCATGACTCTGCAGTCACGGCATGATTGTCGGTATGACTCCACGGTCACGGCGTGATTGTCGGTACGACTCCGTGGTTACGGGGTGATCGTCGGTATGACTCGCGATCACGGCATGATCGTCGGTATGACACCGCAGTCACGGCTTAATCGTCGGTATGACTCGTGGTCATGGCATGATCGTCGGTATGACTCACGGTCACAGCGTGATCGACCTATACCGATACTGATACCTAAAAAATCAATTCTTGATACTAATACCATTTTTTTTATAGTTTTATCAAATTTTCTGAATGGAATGGTTATACTACACCAACCTCTGTCTTATATATCCTTCAATAAAGTATTTTGAGAAAGTTGGGTGTTTTTCAAGTAAAGAAATCATTAATGTACGAATGAAATTTTCTCACTAGCCAATTTAAGTTGAATCCCTTCTAAACACATTGAAAAAACTAACATATCAAACAAAGGTAAAGGAAGATTTATATAAAAAAATGAACTAGAGGCACAGCCTGATTTTTCACATGGCCATATAGTCTTCATTATCGACTCCTGTGGTCACGGAAAAGCCATTGTCGTCTTCCACAATTGCGGCAAAATCATGAACATCTACCGCGGTTGTAGATCATCATCGACCCCTGCGGTCAGGAAAACGTCACTCATCATTGCATGGTGGGGCAAATTCAATAATATTTTCCATGTAGACATTATGATTGTCTTCCGCTATTGCTTCAAAATTGTGTTCCTATCTCTCGCACCCATGTAGACATCATTATCAACTCCCGTGGTTATAGAAATGTCATTGTCGTCTTGCAGGATCGCAACTAATTCATCAATATTTTTGGACGTGCAGACATTATCATCACCTTCCACGCCCATGTAGAAATCGTCATTGACTCCTGCGGTCACAGAAACATCATCGTCGTCTTGCGCGATTTCGGCAATAGTGGTAATTTTCTGATCGCGCAATTTTTGCAGAAGCGTAAAGGTATAGTATAGGTATCGGAATCGACTTTTGACAATCAGTTCTCGATACCGAAAAATGTCCAAGAATCAGTTCAAGCTCTAAATCTCACAAATGATCAATGATCATAAATCTGTTTTTGTTATGTGTATTTGTTTATTTGCTCATTCAACTTGTTTTCACAGGCCGAAGCAGCTCGAGACAGACTGACTGCAATCCTTAACAATTTCAATGCTGCCTTCAACAACACCTTGAGTGGCATTGACTCTTCGCTAAACGATGATCAGAAAACAAGCATACAATCACTCAAAGTACTCATAGATGAACTTAAAGTGAGTATTGAGTTACATTTAAATTAACAATCTCATCCATCCTATAAGTTACCTTTGTTGATTTCTAGGGATCATTCATTGGCAAAACAAAACTTTTGATTCAAAAACAGCAGTAGGTTGCTTGCAGCATGCAGCTCCCTTGTAAGGCCTAATCTGGGAAGGCACAACTTCTGCAAATCGAAGAGGAGACGGGTCCCATATCTGTCACATGACTGTTTGACAGACACTTAGACAATGAGTCTTTATGTGAACGATTGCCCTTATTTGCATTACCTGGTTCTATAGCTCAATTCCCTTAACTCAGAGGAAGCAGCTCTAACTTAAATTGGAGAATCAGATATGGGTTTTTATTTATTTATTGTTTTAATTGGAGTATAGAGAACTTACAACGACCTGTGCTACGGGCATGTTAAATTACCTATGGTTAATACCAATCTATCACAAGCACAAGATAGATGAGTTTTAATTATGATTGGCCCTTAATAATACTAAACAATGCTTTGAATAGATAATTTAGTTTATTGATAATTTTAATAATATTTTATAAATTTTTTTGATTGTAAGAAAATTGACAAATTTTACATTTTTAGACTGAAAACGAGAAAAGTGAGACAGAAAGAATTAAGTTTGAGGAACAGCTTTGTGCTGCGGAGACAAGTTTGAATGAGTCAAGTCACCGAGCTGACTTGTCAGTTACAGAAGAGGATGATGAGGGCAGGGAAGAATTTGTTTTGGAATTGGCAAGGAAACATCATGAAATCCAGGTAGGTCATTATTTTTGTTAATTACGTAATGGATTTTTTACGTTTATTTCCAAGAAATTGACTATCCTACTACTACGGTTTATTAAACAATTTTACCTTGGAAATGTAAAAGGTAATTTGCTTCTGTAGTAGATTGGTTTGCAGTATGACTGTACCACACTACTTACCTGCCGCCAAACTAATGAATGTTTTCTATGGTGTGTGTATTTATATTCCTGTATCTTATTGTTACCCTATTGACAACCTGCACTTCAAGGGACTTCTAGAACTATAGTCCGTTCACAAAATTTAGGCGGTTTGAGGGGTTCCCCACCACTTTTTTCTGCTTAATAATTGTTGCAGCTGATTGACGTTTTGACAAATCTCTGCTGTTGAGCTATGTTTTGGTGGTAGGATCATAGATAGGGGATATGTTTCTTTCCCTATAACCGCTTAAATTTTGTGAACGGAGTAATGCATTTTTGGATTTTATGATGATATTATTAATGTGTACAAAACTGCTATTGTCTGCTACTGCTTGATTGACTTAAGTTCAGGTAAAACAAACCTTCATTTTGCAAAACAATTACCTTATCCTAAAAGTGCCCTTGTTATCTCCGTTTTCATTTTTCCCTTTGCGTTTCAATAATACTTTAAACTTTCTGATTTTTCAGGAACTTGATAAAGATCTGGCTTGGAAAGAAGCTTTGGCAGTTAAACTGGCTCAAAGTAACAGTGTTGAGGGGACTTTACTGCAAGCTACCAACGTCGAGGATATCATGGAGTTGAAGACCCAGATCAACAATCTGTTACATGAGAAAGAGGAACTGGAAAAGCAGCTTAATAATCAACGTTCTTCATCAATTGATCACAAGTAAGCTGCAATTCTTCATATGTCGTAGTTTTTAAATACAACAAACACAGAACTCCTCATGACAATACTTATTGGCCTTGGTGATATTTTATTACAAGTTGTTTCTGCTGTTTGTTGCGTCTTGTTTAAACATAATATGAGCGGTCCCAAGTTTTTCTAACACACTACACATTTGCAACTCAACAATTACAATAAAATGCATATGTGGAAAAATACCCCTGAGTCTCCTTTGACTCTGATTTGTCAAAACAATATGGAAATTTAAAAAAAAATCAAATTCAGCGTAAAGGTTTGCTAGTGGTATTAAAAAAGGCATCAGTTTGAACAAACGATTATGGATGAAATGCATTTAATTTATTAATGTTATACCACTATCCGATCTCTTAATTTATGCCTCCTTTAAGTTTTTCTTACCTCAGCAATAGTGTAAAAAATCTAAAATTTATTTTAAATGGTTTTGCAAATAAAATTACTTTAACTATAAAGCACCATTATCATATATTGATGCTTATTGATTTTGTTTGGACTTGTCAGAATCAAGACTGTCTTTTTTGTACACATGTTTTTTTCAGCTATGAAGTTGCATATTTATAGTTTGTGTTCTAAACGTCTGAAATGTTAAATTAAAAATAGCAATCCCTTCTTGGGACAACCTGTATTTTGGAAGAATAAGGAAAATGTAGGTAACTATTATTGTCTTCAAAACTATTTGTTTTTTGTAATATCAATTTTCTTTAATAGCTTTAAGTTTTACAATTTCATCTCATTCTGCTATTTCAGACTGGCGGAACAGAGAAGAAAGCGGGTGAAAGAGTTGGAAGAAAAAATCTCTGCTCTCAGCAAGAAGGTTACAGATCAGGATAGGATCATCAGAATGAAAGAGAGAAATGAAGAAAAGATGAAAACCCTAAGTGGCGAAATTATGGTCAGTATATGTTTTTCTCACTAATCCTATGTGCTTTATGGTATGTGAAAATCCACAGATTTTTAATCCCAACTATAGAAAAATCTAGTTTCAAATTGTAAATATCAAATATAAGTTGAATAAATATATCAATAAATACATCACAAATGCAAAAAATCTACTGTAAAAATCTTGTTCACTATTATTTTGTCTAAGATTTGTACCTAATTGCATTTTAAAACTGTTAACATAAGATAATGAATTATTTGCTGCGATTCTGACCACGTTCCTCAAAGCGGTTGTCATCTCTCTCCATCATGATTATCACCCACAGTTTTTTACTGCCTTGAGTAAATGTGGGGGAATGGCAGGTGAAACTAAATATGGGATTTAACTGATCTGATATTTGATTCTCTATTTCAATCAATCCGATCTTGTATTCTCTTCTTTGTATCTTTTCTTGAAATTTGATGGATTTGTGATTCTGCTTAACACGTTCGCTGTGAGGTACTCACTGGTGAGTGCTCTAGTTCCTTTCTGCCATGCTGAATGCGTGTGAGAAAGATGGATAAGATCAGTGTTTGTTTATCACACAAATCACCGCACTACTTATCAGTAAGTTGTGGAATCGCTTGTGACATTTTGTCATTTATGTTTTAGAACCTGAAGCAGACAAAAGTAAAACTAATAAACGAGATGAAATCGGAAGGTGAGAAATATCGTCAGTTACGAGCCTCAAGGGAACGGGAGGTCTGTAAACTGCGGCAACAGAATCGTCAAAAGGAAACAAAGTTTGTCAAGATGGAAAGCTACTACATGAAGCAGCAAAACGTCTACAAGAGGAAACTGGAAGAAAGCACGGCTGTTATCAGAAGACTGAAGGTACGGTTTCTCAGGTTTTTTTTTCTTTTTGGTGATAAGATAAAAGATCAGATATTTATAAACTCTTTTTTCACGTAACAATATATTTTAAACTTTACCTTTAAAACTTTTTGTTATATTTATCGTTAAATAGTTCTCTTTTGCATGAATAACTTTTTATGCGGCATGATATTTAATACTATTAGGTTTGAGGTTTTAAAAAACTTGACTTAATACAGCTGAGCACATTTGTAATAAAACCACTGTTTTGAATTCTTGATTTGACACATTCTGTTGAACATAATATAATATTCTTGTTAATCGAATTATGGTAGGAAAAGTAATGAGATGCTGCAATGTTTTGGGCTAACAAATCTTACAATGTTAATTATATTTCCTAAACTCAATTCCTTTAGGCTTTGACCAGCTAGTTGGTTTTTGAATTCCATGCTATGACCCCAGTACAACCTTTCTGGCATCTAAAACATTTTCACCTTTGATAGTGATGGTCAAATTTTTAATCTGAACTGTAAAATGTTGAATCCAATGTTAAAGATCTCTTTATCGACTTCTAGGACACCCTTGCTCTTCAACAACGTAATGCCAAAGACAAGAAGAGTTTGTTGGGCAATGCAGAGAAGGTGAGCCAATGGGTCAACCAGGAGTTCAGTGCGATGGTCAATGCATTGGAGGCCGAACAAACTCTGGAAAACCTCAAGGAAGACAGGGCGTTGTTGTCCAAAGAGCTGAAAAGACTAAAGGTGAGAATCAGATTTATAGATTAGCTGATATTGGTATAGCAACGTAATTACAGATGCCACTTGATAGTCAGACACACCTGGTAATCCAACATGCGCAGTGCTGAATAAGTCATACGATAATAGTAGTGGTAGATAACTTATATTGGAGATATTAGCAATTAATAATGAAATGTATAATTAAATTTACAAGTTCAACAAGGCCAATATATAATTCTTTTATTTTATTTACTAGCGCTTTCAGAAACTAGGTTTCCATCTTCAGATCAAGAAAGATGTATTATCATTTTTAGCGAATTTCCCTATAGGGAAGTAGCTATTACCATAGGTCTCATGGTAAGACTTAGGCCAGGGACCGATTTACTTTTTCATTTTGATGTCCCCAGAGGCCAAAAACACCATTCGTTTAAATTTTTATATATGTATATATTTGATATGATAATAATTATTATGATAATAATTAGGGGTCTGCGGTACAGAAAATTTAAGGTCGGTACGGTTCAATATTTTGTACCTCGGTTCTCAGTACAAAATCGGTACGGTACGCAGCTACCCGTATTTTTGCGGTTTTCTTCTCAGAACTGTATTAAACCATTATTTTTAATTTTAATACATTAACATTAGGTACTATGAAAATAGATAGTATCCTACATTCATGGTTTAACTAACAACAATTACTGTACCGCACATTATTAAAACCTTTTACTCCTAGGCATACGAGGATTGTGTCAAGAAAAGTTAAGGTTTTTGTTTCAATTATTTCCAACCAACACAATATCTAAGTTTGCAGTTGGTGACAGCCAATCAAAAGACAAGGCTAGTGCGACAATGCCACATCGCCTGTTGACAACACTAATTAAAATATACTAAGCATTTTCAAATCAGCTGGTATTATTAGATTTGGCAACACTGCACGGTTCTCATTGGTTCATTCAAAACCATATGGTAAATAGGCTCCTCCCTCAACTGCAAACTTACGTGGTCCCGACAATAGTTGTTTTTTAAACTTTTAAAAACATATAAAAGCATTCAGTACGAAAACAGTGTAGTTGCCAGCTGTTTTCACATTCAACAGATGACAATGAAAAACAGGATGTTATGATGAAGTAATGGCAAAGAGCATCTTTTTCATCAGCTTGAAAACTAATTATAAGATGGATACATCTCTTGCAAAGTTTTTTTCTGAAACTAAAATTTGGATTACCACAGAGTAATATTATTGTCTTTTCATTTGCAAAGTTAATATCCACACATATCAATCATTAGTTCATCTCAGACTCAATCAAATTTTCTTAGTATATTTTAATGCTCTTCAAAAGAGTCAAAAGACCCAGGCATAGACCTAATTAAATAGGATGGCCTATATAAATTGAGTAGGTTACAATGATGGTAGCAAAATCACTATCATAATTCTAGTTCATAAGATTTAGATTGCATAAAGTACCTTCAACACAATAATAAAAAAATATAGGAAACAAAAAAACATTCAAACCTTAACAGCCACATCCAACAATATACCTTGTGGTTTCATCAAAGAAAGATAAAATATCCATAACAAATATCTTAACTAATAAAATAAGATTGTAGATTAGTTACAAGTTTAATATGAAGCCATAAAAAGTTTTATGTCAGTAGGCAATGGCCAGCGGCAAATTGAATATTCACGAAAATACTGACTGAATTAGAGATAAAATTTACAGCCATCATAAAACTATTACTTTTAAGTAGGGATGGTCAAGTCTCGAAATTTCGGGAAATTTTCGGGAAATTTTAAATCTCGTTACACGAGACGAGATTTCTTTTTGGCCGAGATTTTTATCGAGACGAGAATAAAAAAAAATAAAAAAAATTAAAAACGCCTGCAGAAAGTCAATGCAATACCCGCAATACAGGAGTGTGTTGTAGTTGCGTTTCCTTTGCGAAGGCGTTCTTATTTAATTAATTCTTTAAATGTAAATATTACTTTAATTATTTAAATAGTATTACTTTAATAACATTTGAGAAGTTTTGTTAAGTGTAAGCAGTGTGAGGAATGTTTTATTACTATAAAAACTCAAAACAAGTAACTATTTTATAAAAATTAATATTGCTTTTATTTTATGATATATTTTATTTTAGGATAAGTTGAACTCTATCCTAACTGATATCACTATGTTTTCTAATGGTAGGCATTTTTAATAAGTTAGGCGTGATTAATAAAAAAATGTTATGCTGATGTTTTTTAATAAAATATTGTAAATATTCTTGCCTATTATCATTATTTTTGTATTTAAACAGTCATCTAACAATGTTACAAAATCAGGTAAAAATTTTGAACGTGTATTTCCCGTTGTGTATGAGAAGGGAAATCCCGTCTCGATCTCGTCTCGAAATTTTATGAGAAATAAAAAGTCTCGTCTCGTCTCGAACTAAAAATCCAATCTCGTCCATCCCTACTTTTAAGATAAAATAGAATTGGGGAAAAGTCGTAAAGGAATAAAAGTGATAAAACTCAACAGTTCTTGGAAGTACTTGAATACAACAATTATTGTCCTGATAAAATGTTAATGGATTTGGGACTGCTAATGGGTTTTTTATTGCATCATCACCCTAGTAATAAATTATGAAGATCTAAACAAACATCTGATAAGACTTTTATGTGTTCAGAACCAACCATCGTTTGGCAAATCTGAAAGAATAACTTATTATATTATACTGTAAATTTAAAAAAGCAAATTTTATCAAACTGTGTCCTCCACCCATTGCAATCGCAAAGCTTGAGTATAACTGCAATAAGCATTTTATACTTATATTCCAACCCCGTACGAAGGACGGGTACTCTGCTAGTAATATGATAATAATAACAATATCAAATATTACAATATTTGATATTGTTCACGTGTAGGGCTACTGTAATTAATATCAATAAATAATACACCATAGTACCCTGTGTATATATATATATATATATGTGTGTGTGTCCGTGAACACTTGAGTAATTTTTATCTGATTTTGATGAAATTTGGTTTGAAGGTGTAAGGCGGGATAAACTTGAATGAGTTCGTGATCCAGCATTATCGGACTATGGGAACAGGGTTTTGTTTTATGGGGTAAAAATTGGTTTTTCTCATTTTTGACCCTCAAAACATAAAATTTCCCAATTTTTCTCTAAACCTTCTTAAAGAGCTTAAAAAAACAATTCAGTATATCACAGTGTTTTCATACGGTTATTAGTTACGGAGAAAACTAAAAAAAATTTAAATTCCCACGTTATTGTTATGGAGAATATTGTAAAATGTTGTAGTTTGCGTATTTATGGATATATTTCGATTAAATATAGCAAATATATTGATTTTGTACTAAGCTATAATTATTTTACTTAAAAACACACTTCCTTGTAGCAGCAAACCTATGTACTCGTTACACCTAATATTATTTAAATAGATCAATTGAAAATCAATTCAGCCAAATGGAAATTCGCTTAGACGGTAGGTTTGCTGCGGCGGGGGTATTTATATTGGGAAAGCAATTGTTTTCTTTTTGGTGGAAAAGTTACTATAATTAGTTTTAGAAAAATAAAAAAAATATATGCTCAATTACCTGTGAATATTAATGACTTTTCCTGATATATTTTAAGTTTGAATCATCTGCTTAAAGAATTATTTTGCTCTCCTTTTGATTTACTAGATTTTGGTTCAAACCGTTGATGTAGATATGAACAGTAAGGCTGCGTTTACATTGGAGGCACGCTTGGGCAAGTAAAATGGTGGCGCATGTTTGGCCAAGAAACAAAATTAAAGCAGATTACTGGAAACCTGTGGCAACTTGTCCAGGCATGGTTATAGTGCTCGCCACTAGCAAGCGCACGCGGGTAAAAGCTTGCGCCTCTCAAATCACAAAACAAATAAATTTGTCTTTTTAAACTGTTGTTATACGTTTTTAAATTGTTCAACATGGATACTGAGGCGTTGATTGATGCAGTTCTTCTGTTAAAACTTTTTTTAAACTACATGCACATCTTTATTTATACGCTACTTGCAAATAGACTTTAATTTGTCAATCAAAATCACAAATACTTGAAAAGAACCGGTATGGATCATAAACATAAACAAAGGACGTTGTTGGCCCAAAAATAAACATTATTTAAAATTGCTTAAACGGAACTGTCTAAACCATATTAGTATAGGATTCGGGCCAACAATGTCATTTGTTTATGTTTATGATCCATACAGGTTCTCTTCAAGTATTTGTGATAAAAATATATTGAATTTTTGCTCTATCAAAATAGACCTATAATAATGCTATGATTAAAAAATTAAGCTCCTCTAGGCTTATTAAAATTATACTGTTTTAGTTAGTATTGTTATGTTTTTGATAAAATAATTATATCAACATTACATTGACTCCTACAGTTTCCCATTCCCCCCTAACTCGTTCGGAGTCTAATAATATAAATTTAACTCCATTTACGAGCACAATGTCCTCATCATCTGACATCTCCATTTTGACTGATCTGTGATGTAGGCCTAGTGGGGACGACCACTTGTTCTTGGTTGCTCTGCTCTAGTAAAACCACACCATCGGCATCGGCAACAGCACGCTTACGCAAGCGTGCACTACCATTTAACTTGCCCAAGCGTGCCTCCTATGTAAACACAGCCTAAGGGTCTCAAAATTGACCCTTAAATTGATTTCTCCTTCAGCATTACAATACAGAGGTAACGCAATCCTAGACAAGCTTTGAGTTGAACTTTGAACTCATTTGAATCAATAGCTCTCAGAGCTGCCAGTAGATAAACACAGTCAATTGATTTTGATTTACTTTTTCAGGAATCAATTTCATCACCTGAACTCGACAAGGAAGAAAAGTGTAAAATATCAGAGGAAATCAAGTCCCTGAATGAAGACATTGAATTGAGAAGCACTCAAATCCTTGACTTAACACATAAACTTCAAAGTCTCGATAGCTACCAAGGTAAGCGTTACAGACAACTCTTTTTTTTTAAGGGAGAGGTGGGAAAATGATTTTACGGACACAGGTGGCAAGCCTGTAGTGTGAGACTCCTGAACAGATCAGACTACTAAGTCAGGCCAACATGTGACCTAAACGCTAGGGCTACCACTGTTACAGACAACTCTAGTGACTGTGTTAATATATTTTGAAAGCTTGGAACTTTTTCAAGGTTTCATCCAATTATTCTTAAAAATTATTAATTTTTCAGACAATTTGCTGTGATATTTATTTATAAAACGCGACTGGTACATTCTTGACACCAGTGTATATACTTTCTTTGAAACTAGACACCACATAAAAATTAAATACAAGTGTTGGAAAATACATTACAAACTGTTTGAGCCTGTGGTGTGCTTGAAGTGATTTTTTTCTTGTTTTGTAATCTCTTGGCAAACCACATAAAAAATCACCTCAGGCTTTGTCTCCTTCCTTTTTAGTGAATTTCTCATATCGGGAATAAGCTATTAACGTAGGTCTCATGGTAAGACCTGGACCCGAGACCGATTTACTTTTTTGTTTTGGGGTCTCCAGAGGCCACCATGCGTTTTGATTCATATATCTATTTTTACCTCTATATGTGTCCGTTAGCACAATTATGAGCAAAAATTATCTGATTTTGATGAAATTTGTTATAAACCTGAATTTATTCAAACGAGTTCACAAACCAGCACGGTCGGACTATGGGAATAGGGGTTTATGGGGTAAAAATAGAGGTTTTACCAATTTTCACCCTGAAAACATAAAATTTTGCAATTTCTTTCCAAACCATTTTATAGAGCTAAAAAAAAATAATTGAGTACATTGAAGGCTTCAATTTTTAATATTTCAAATTCATACACAGTGTATGCTTATAAATATCCACTAAATCCACTCCCTTCAATAATAACTCAAACTTTGCTCTCTTTATGAATTACCCTCTTTATACTACTCTTTTCTAACAACACTTTTAAATGATACATTGGTGTTTATTTACAGAAAATAAGTCCAAGACACGATATGAGTGTGTACAGACCATGGCAGACGCCAAGACAGCTCTGAGATACGTGTTTGACACAGCTCATAGCTATCTGTCTGAGCTACATAAAAACAAGGTAGGACTAACTCAAGCTTTCAGAAATTATAAACCTACAAACAGTTGTTGGATCAGTGACAGGTAAAATTGTTGTTCTAAAAAAAAACTCTCTTCGTCTCTGCCAGTTTTTTGGATTATCAGATTTTTTTTTTGTGGTTGGCTGGTGGTTTTAGCCAAAGTTGTAAATTAGAGGTAATAATTGCATTTTTTTGTACTCCTTAGTGTTTACCCAAGTGGCATTTTATATGTTAAAACAGAGCTATTTAATGGTAGGCAATCCAACCCCTAAAATTTTATTTTATGGGATTTAAATCTGTACTGAAATCTTAAGACACCAATCTACATACTCGAAAAAGGGATTTAATAATTTGTATACCCTTGTATTTACAATCTTATCGAAAGTGACCAGTTTTATAATAAAAAAGCACTTAGTTGGTTCAGTCAATTCACCGACAGATTGTACTAACTTTCTTGTTTAATTACTTATATTGTTAATGCTAACCTGAAAGGCTAACGTATGGAAAACTATAACATTTTTATGACTTCATCAACTATCATAGTATAATCAGCTAAATGGAATATAACTTAAAACTTCAAAAGTATCACACTATGAACTGACCACTACCTTAGCACACTACCTTATCACTCAACTGAGTAGTATACTGAAAACTAGTATACTAAAATGGGACTGTGCTTATATTTTGCTGCATTACATTTGTCACTATATTTTCAGGCGTCAAAGGAGGCAGCCCTCCAAGAACTGAGGGACAGTTACGAAGCTCTGCAGGAACAGCTGATGGAGAAGGAGACAATGCTGAAGGAAGAGATAGAAAATAACAGTAAAAAAGAATCCAACCTTAACGAAAAAGTGAGTAAAGAATTAATATTTTATCTTTTACTGAAAGACAGAAAAGAAAGAAAGAGTTTTATTTCTCCATATACAAATATGTACATAGAGGATAGTCATACATTGATGATGAGTAAGTACAATGTCATCTCAAAGCTTAAATAAACTTATTACTACTGTTAAAAAAGTGCTTTGAATGACTTTTTAAACAGTAGTAATAAGTTTGTTTAAGCTTTGAGATGACATTGTACTTACTCATCATCAATGTATGACTATTCTCTAAGGTCTAAAACAGTATCAGTGGATGAGTTTTTTGCATTGACTGTACTCTTAGACCTTCCGGGACTTAGACCTTCGACATACTACCAGATTAGACCCTCAGCAACAAGTACTGAGCCGTGACTATTTCCACCGGGCGAATGTCACGACTCATGATCAATGGTTCAAGTGTTTTTTTTATAGTAGGCTAGTTCAGTGTTTCGTTGTCACTCCACGGCCCCCCGAACAAGGCTGTGGGTTTTGTTCTTATTACTCCGACCGCGAAGTGTCAGAGGTTGCGTGACGTCGGATTTGAGTACTTCACTGAAGATTTTTTATCCTTTTAAATCTTCCTTTTTTGGATAATAAATGTGCCTTTTAAGTTTTATTCTTGGCCGTTTGTGAGAACTTTCTTTATGGAGTAACTTTAGTACGCCCCGCGCGCCTTTTGGGGCCCGTGAGGAGGAAAATGACTGACCATCTTCAGCGGAGAGGAATGTTGCGACTAGGCTGGCGCTGCATATTGGCCCCCTCTCCGCCCTGCCTCTTCTCTCCTCCGGTGCTGTCCGCCCAGCTTCATGGCCCTCCGGTGTCACACCCTTGAAGACTGTTACCGCAAGTTACCGACTAATTGTTATTTATCTAATTGTTATATATATTGCTGTTGCCGAATGGACTTTAAGATTTTTAACATTTGTTGACTATTTATAAGCACAGCAGCCTATTGTTATTTATTTCAAATTTTATTCTACTGTTGCCTAATCATCCGATTTTTTAAAATCTCTCCACTGTATTTAATTTTTGGGGCCCCTAGTTAATTGTTAACTTTTCAGATATTTATTAAAAGAGTCATCATATTTTATTATTGTTATAGTTTGTTAATTTTGGTAATTTCCTTTTATTAAATGTTAAATTTTTACTAAATCCTTCTGATTTTCTGAATGATTAAAATAAATTATTGTAAGTCAGCAGCTTAAACGGGTACCTAAATTTATTTAAGGTTTATTGAGAGTATTTAATTCATGTATTGTTGTTGATTATTGTTGTTGTGTTTTCTTTTAAATGGTTAATTACAGCTCGTTTCTCTCAAATGGCGTGTTGTTCTTGAACCTCCATCCATGGTTCTCATTTTGTTAAGTAAAGTTTTGTGAGCCGCTCCTCGGGCCTGCGCATGGATCACGCTTCCATTTCGTTAGTCTGGGTGCAGGCACGAGGGCATGGTTCATCTGGTAGCAGAGCGTGGTTGGTGGGTTGCGTCCTGGGTGCCTTGCCGTGAAACTTGGTTTCACGACTCGGATACTTAGAGATGCGATCACTGTCCACGTTCTGTTTTTTTGGTTTGTTTTGAAGAGCCGTGGATGGATTGGTTTCTTGGGAATGTTCTGGCCTGGCAGTTTTGGAAAAAGGTCTTGTTGTTGTTGTGGTGGGGCGTAAACACATTTTATTAGGAGCTCGCCCTTTGGCCGAGGCACCGGGTGGAATCGGTGGTAATGACTTGCATCCTTCGGGAGCAAGAGTGTCAAAAGCATGGTCATGTGTCAAAAAAAAAAAAAAAAAAAAAAAAAAAGGTTTGTGTGTACACCCCATCACACAAGTGTTAGGTGTTGTCTAGTGTATGTATCGGTGTATGTTTGTGTGTGTGTACGTTCGTGGGTCATTTGTTGTTGTTTTTTCTTGCGGTACTTGCGGTATGAATGGGCAGGTTCTTCTTTTGGGCCCCATCAGGTGCGTAGGCATCAACGTCCAGAAGCCTTAGGAATTAAATTTCTGTGTTTGTTTTGTGAAAAAATTTTGTTGGCTGTTATTTTGAGTCAAGTGCTGGTTGAGACTCGGTATGGCGTCAATTGTGCCGGAATATTTGAGGAGGCCGGAGCTGGTGTACGAGGTGCGGTCCCGGGGGGAGACTCCTGGAACTGATGTACGCACTTTGCGTACACAGTTCAGACAAATTGCTAGCATGCCTCAAGCTTGGGTTGAGTCGCTCAGTTTGGATGAGGAACTGGAGGCATGTAAAGAGAGGATGGAGGAGCTAAGTGGGGAAATTGATAGTTGGAGTAGTTTGCCTATGGGCTCAGCTAAGGGTTCGGCTATCACACAGCTGACGCACTGGCGTAAGCGTCTGCTCTTGGTTTCAGGGCAACCTGAAATCCAAGATGAGGACAAGAGCTGGGTGGAAGCCAGAATTCTTGAGCTGGAAGGAATTTTGGAGAGTATTAAGGCAGGAAAGTCTGTCAAAGAGAAAGTCGAAATTTTTGAAGACAACCGTTCTTTGGAAATTTCAAACGATGTGCCAAAGTCTGTTGTTGAAGTTGTGGCTCCAGTGGGTACCCCCCAGGCTCCGCCTACGCCAAGTACACTGCTCCGGTTGCCTGCAAATGTTCAAATGTCAAATGCAAATGTCACACCGTCCCCCTCTCACACGTCCACCTTGGCTGCGGCTACGCTGAATGTCCAGTCCCCATCTCCCTTTCCTTCTCAAGTTCATAGTTCCCCTTCCATCTCTAACTCCTTTGGCAAACTTCCCCATCCCCTTGCCTCTGTCCTGAGTGGTTTCCGGCCGGTGGACGGGTTAGATGTGAATGGTCTTTGTTTTTTTCTGGAGAGTGTTTTGCGCATGCGTGAATACCCTGGCATGTCAGACGCAACTTTGATGGAACTCATTGCTCCATACTGTCTGAAACCGTTGGGGGACAGATTGCTTGATTGTTTGCGCAGAGGCGTCACCTTTGATGTTTTTCATAAAGAAGTTTTGGAGCTTTTCATGCCCCGTCGGGTCATGGAGAAGCTGAAAGTTGAGAGAGTTTTTCGTCCTCAGCAGCCAGCCGAGTCTCTCAGCCAGTACGTGGGGGACATTCGCACGGTGGAAAGGGTCTTGCGTTTGGGGATCAGTGAGCTTGAGCTCATTGACATTGTGCTTCAGGGGTTGAAGCCTGAGGAACGCTCCCGTCTGGTTTTTGCACCACGGCCTGCATCTTTTGCGGATCTGGACAGACTTTCCATCCTTTCGAGATCTGTCCAGGACGCTGATCTTCAGAGAGACCAAGCGGCGGGGCATCTTCCCCTAGCTGGTCATCATGCTGTCGTAGCACCCGTGGGAGTGTTGGGTCCTGAACCGCCGCAGTGGCAGAGGCAACCTGTTGTTTGTTTTGGTTGTGGGCAACCAGGTCACATTCGGCGGCATTGCCGTCAAGGTGGAAATTTTGGACGTGGTCCAAAAAACTAGTTTGCTCACAGGAGGAAAAATTGCCCAATCCTTCCTGTGAGGTTGTTGGTGATAATGTAAAGGGCAATAATTTGAATGTTTTTTCAAGTAAGTCAAAGTCTAAGTTAAAGTCAGTTAATGTTTCTGTTGCCTCCCCTTCTGGGAGTGTTGTGCCTGTGACCGAGCCTCTGCTGCGGGGGATTGCGGGCCTTGCTACCATGGGCGTGAAAGCGGCGCGCTCAACTTGCCCACGTCTCAACATCTTCATAGGTTCCACGGTGCAGAAGGCCCTAGTGGATTCTGGGTCAGCCCGTTGCCTCATTTCCTTGTCCCTTTTTGAAAACCTTGAATCGTCTGGGCTTATCAAGCAAGTTGAGCGAAAAACCCCTATCTGCTGGACTGCGTCAAATTCACCCCTTCCCATCATCTATGAAGCCCGTTTCAAGTTCAAAATTGAACATTTTTCTTGGGTTTGGAGTTTTTGGGTGGCTAAGGACCTTTGTTTCCCTGTCATTTTAGGAGCGGATTTTATCAAGCACACTGGCCTAATTTTGGATTTAGGCAGAGGTCAGTGTTTTTTCCGATTTGCGAGGCGGGTATTAATATCTTTTGCTGATGAAATTGGTGGTGGTGCTGCGGTAGTCGAGCCTGAGATACCCAGCAAGCCAACAATTGATCCGTTAGGGCATCTGACTACTTGCGAGGCTGAAGCCATCAGAACCTTGTGTTCTCGTTTCCCAGATGTGCTGACGCCAAAGCTTGGAGTCACTAACCTGTTGGAGTACGAGATTCGTCTAACAGATACCCGTCCCGTTCGCTCTCACCCATACAAATTAGCTCCACCCAAAATGGAAACTCTCAGAAAAATCATTGACGAACTTCTGGAAAATGGTGTCATTGAACCTTCCCGTTCGAGCTACGCTAGTCCAGCCTTTCTCGTCCCAAAACCCAATGGCAAGTCCCGAATGGTTTTGGACTATCGCAAATTGAATGCGCAAATTGAAATCGACTCTGTGCCTCTCCCCGATTTGCATTCTGCGTTTGATTGGTTCGGTAAGGCCAAGTATTTTTCTGTTTTTGATCTGAATCAGGCCTATCATCAGATTCCTTTGAAACCTGAGTCTCGACCTCTCACTGCTTTCTGCGTTCCGTGGAATTTGTATCAGTTCACAAGAGTTCCGATGGGTCTTGCTGTGGGGGCCCAGACTCTCACCAGACTCCTTGATTCCATCTTTCATGATGTCAAGTTCAAGTTTGTGTTCAATTACCTCGACGATCTCTTGGTGTACAGTGAGAGCTTCGAAGATCACCTGATTCATCTTGAAGAAGTCATGAGTAGATTGAATAGGGCTGGCCTTACCGTGAATCCTGACAAGGTTAGTTTTGCAAAGCCGGAAATTTCGTTCCTTGGTCATCTTGTCTCTCATAGAGGCGTCTGCATCGACCCCGCTAGAACCCAGGCTATCAGGGAGTTTCCTCCTCCCAGAGATGTCAAGGGTATTGCTAGGTTCATCGGCATGGTAGGTTTTTACCGACGCTTCATACCCAATGTTGCTGAATTGGCGGCTCCTCTCAATGAGCTTCGGAAGAAGGGCGCCAAGTTTGTCTGGGGTGAAGCGCAGCAGACGTCTTTTGATCTTCTCAAGGAGGCTATCATGCAGCCCCCTGTTTTGGCGATGCCGGATTTCAATCAAAACTTTGTCTTGCAAACAGATGCTTCCTCCGTCGCAATTGCGGCTGTGTTGTCACAAGAGGTGGATGGTGTTAGGCAGCCAATTGCGTACGCCTCACGCACTTTGAGTCCCTGCGAAAAGAAAAGCTCTTCGGTGTATGAACTCGAGTGTTTGGCTGTCGTGTTTGGAGTCAATAAATTCAGACGCTTTTTGGAGCACAAGGAGTTTTTATTGGAAACCGACAACCAGGCACTCTCGTGGCTTCTTGCACATCCACGCCAGCTTGGGAAAATTGGTCGTTGGGTTGTCCAAATATCGTCCCTTAAGTTCCAAGTGCAACACGTTCGAGGCACTCAGAATGTGATTGCTGACACACTATCTAGGATGTACCATTCACCCGACGATCATCCTTCTGACCAAGAGCAACCGGGTTGTGCCGTGCTCTTGGAGTTTCCACTCGCCTTTTCTGATTTCATTCCCCATCAGCTGAAGGATCCTGAGCTGGCAAAGATCATTGGTGAGCTTCAAAATGGGGGAGCCCACCCCCCATATTTTCTGTCCCAGGGTGCCCTTTGCTGTCGCGCTCGGCAGCGAGGTAAACCTAAAGTTGTGCTGCCTAGTCTTCTAATCCCTATGGTCTTTGAGTATTTTCATTCGTCTCCTGTGGGTGGGCATCTAGGTATCCACAAGACCATTGCGAAGGTTAGGGAAATGTTCATCTGGAAGGGTATGGATCGGGATCTTGCTGCTAGGGTGCGTTCTTGTCAAACGTGCTCACTGAGCAAGCCCGCTCAAAACTCTAAGTTTGGTTTGTTGTCATCTGAGGTGGCGGAAAGACCTTTGGAGAAGGTTTTCATTGACTATGTAGGGCCTCTCCCGCGTAGCAAGTCAGGAAATAAGTTCCTACTTGTTTGTGTGGATGCCTTCTCCAAGTTTTGTTGGCTTTTCCCCTTAAGGAATGCCACTGCACAGCTCACCGTGCAGGTACTTCGAACACACCTCTTCCAACATTTTGGAATACCCGCCACCATTGTTTCCGACAACGGAACACAGTTTGTTTCCCATCTGTTCAAAAGAATGTGCTTTGGGCACGGAATCCGCCATGTGACTACTTCCCCTTACTATCCACAGCCTTCTCATGCTGAAAGGTTCAATCGCAATCTTCGCTCCGCTCTCATAGCTTTCCATGCTGACAAGCAGACCACCTGGGATCAGGAACTCCCTTGGCTTCAGTTTGCTTTCAATACTGCTCACCATGAGAGTCACAAGGCGGTCCCTTTCGAGCTGTTTCTAGGCTATCCGCCTAACAACCCGTTAGCGAATGTGTGGGGAATTGGCGACCTTCTGCCACCTCCTGGTGCGGCTGATGTCAAGGCAACTTGGCAAGCGGCCAGGAGAAACTTGATCAGAGCTAGGGAATTGGTCCGGAGGAAGCACAATCGTGGTAGAGTAGACAACCCTTTCCAGGTGGGGGATTTGGTGTTTTGTAAAGCTCATCCAGCCAGTTCGGCTGTGGACAAGAGAGCTGCAAAGTTGTGTCATCGGTGGTCAGGTCCCCACCGCATCCTGAGGTTTTTGACGCCTGTCACGGCGGAGCTTGGAGATCCGCGGACTGGAAAAGTGTTCCGGAGGGCGCACATTTCTCATCTCAAGCCCTTCCGCGGAACTCTTCCGTAGGCAATTTTCTTTCCTCTTGTGTCTGGGTGGGAAGTGCACTGGGCCAGAGAACCTGATCACTTCTCCTGTCCCCTGTGTTCTGCGAAGGAATTTCCCTCACAAAATTTTCCAGCTCTGGCCAGAGCAAACCCTGGGGGTGAGTTTTCCCCTCAGTTTGGAAGTCCCTTGGCGTTCCCCACCACAGACACTTGAGTTGTCTTTCAGGTCATTCTCTTTTCAGGAAGTGGGGGAGAGGCTTGTTTGTTTGTCCCTTTTGGAGAGGAGTGTCCTCTTTTGGGGAGGGAGGTTGAGCCGTGACTATTTCCACCGGGCGAATGTCACGACTCATGATCAATGGTTCAAGTGTTTTTTTTATAGTAGGCTAGTTCAGTGTTTCGTTGTCACTCCACGGCCCCCCGAACAAGGCTGTGGGTTTTGTTCTTATTACTCCGACCGCGAAGTGTCAGAGGTTGCGTGACGTCGGATTTGAGTACTTCACTGAAGATTTTTTATCCTTTTAAATCTTCCTTTTTTGGATAATAAATGTGCCTTTTAAGTTTTATTCTTGGCCGTTTGTGAGAACTTTCTTTATGGAGTAACTTTAGTACGCCCCGCGCGCCTTTTGGGGCCCGTGAGGAGGAAAATGACTGACCATCTTCAGCGGAGAGGAATGTTGCGACTAGGCTGGCGCTGCATATTGGCCCCCTCTCCGCCCTGCCTCTTCTCTCCTCCGGTGCTGTCCGCCCAGCTTCATGGCCCTCCGGTGTCACACCCTTGAAGACTGTTACCGCAAGTTACCGACTAATTGTTATTTATCTAATTGTTATATATATTGCTGTTGCCGAATGGACTTTAAGATTTTTAACATTTGTTGACTATTTATAAGCACAGCAGCCTATTGTTATTTATTTCAAATTTTATTCTACTGTTGCCTAATCATCCGATTTTTTAAAATCTCTCCACTGTATTTAATTTTTGGGGCCCCTAGTTAATTGTTAACTTTTCAGATATTTATTAAAAGAGTCATCATATTTTATTATTGTTATAGTTTGTTAATTTTGGTAATTTCCTTTTATTAAATGTTAAATTTTTACTAAATCCTTCTGATTTTCTGAATGATTAAAATAAATTATTGTAAGTCAGCAGCTTAAACGGGTACCTAAATTTATTTAAGGTTTATTGAGAGTATTTAATTCATGTATTGTTGTTGATTATTGTTGTTGTGTTTTCTTTTAAATGGTTAATTACAGCTCGTTTCTCTCAAATGGCGTGTTGTTCTTGAACCTCCATCCATGGTTCTCATTTTGTTAAGTAAAGTTTTGTGAGCCGCTCCTCGGGCCTGCGCATGGATCACGCTTCCATTTCGTTAGTCTGGGTGCAGGCACGAGGGCATGGTTCAGTACAAACTGCAAAATGTGTGTCGAAGGTCTAATTAGACCTCCCGGGACTTAGACCTTCAGCAACACTCCCAATTTAAAGTATAAAATGCATTGTCATACAAGTATTGTCTGACCTTCTTCAAAAAACAATTGTTAAAGCCTGTGTCTTTTTCTAATAGTAAGAATTTATTAATTATTTGTAATTACTGCTACTGCTACTGCTACAAAATCGACTTCAGTATAAAAGGCTGTAATAACGCTGATCGTGTTTGCCTATTAACAACGAGCATTACGAAATACTACCTTGGTAATACATTACTGGTACTGAGAATACCATGTATTATTTTTGTAACGTCTGAACTTTTAGCTAGTGCAACACTGATTGTGTCTTCCTGGCCTATTAAAAGTGACCACCTCACGAGGAAGTAATTTCCAACAATAAATTTATTTAATTTAAGTAATGATACAATATGAAAAAGTATGTTGTAGTATAGTTGTTTTTTTGTGGTCTTCTAAGAACCCCTGGGCTCTATTTTTACAAGTGAGCTAGCCAAACTCTTATCGCATAGTCAAAATTACTATATTAGTACTCTATTTTATTTTATTCGCTGTAAATCTGTACCTTAACCATCAAGATCACTATAGTGTTAGGATACATAGTAACGAGTTATCACTGAAAAACATATTTTTTGGATTAGCTTAGAACAGCAAAGTAGCATTGGGGTTAAAATACTTCTCTAATAAATTAAGATACTTCGATAATGAATACTAAGTTGCACTTGATCATTGGGTTGTTATCTTAATCTATACAGTAATCAATAATCAATTGTTCATTTCCACACATCATCACAAAGAACTAGTAAAGCTTGAAAATAGTTTAAATAGTTTTAAGCTAATATACTTGGACAAAAGCTTTAAACTATAAACCAATGTGCTCTAAAACTACATAAACTCATTATTTTGTAACCTTTTAAGTTAAAGTTGTAATTGTAAGTTGAATTGTTAATTTTAAATCAATTTTGTAACTTTTTATTATAATAGTTTTTATTTTTTATACTATCAAGCAGTTTATTAAAAAAAAATTCCATGATTCTATTGAAGAGTTTCAAGTTGAACAAACGTATAAATAGGCTGTAAAGTCATTCGCTAACAGAAATATTGAAATGTGTAGAAACATATTTAACAAATAAATTTTGTTTGTTCAGGTAACAATACTCCTACAGAGACTGAAAGATATGGAAAGAGAGAGTTTTATTGCCAATAACACACGTGCTCCTCTAGAAGACCTATCTAACGTGGTAGAGGAAGAGACAGAAGAACAGAAGAGATCCACTGTAAGTGACAAACAGCTGATCAAACAACTTCAGCAGAGGGTGGAAGAGCTTGAGAAGCAGCAAAAAAAGATCCCCAAGAAAGAGGTGGGAATTCAGCTGTTATCTCTGCAAACTCATTAAACGTATCTCTGCAAATTCATTAAAAGTCTCACAAACCAAAAATAAAATAGCCCAGAGTAAATGTAGTTGATCGTATCTCAGCAAATTCATTAAAACATTCACAAACCAAAAATAAAATAGCCCAGAGTAAATGTAGTTGATCGTATCTCAGCAAATTCATTAAAACATTCACAAACCAAAAATAAAATAGCCCAGAGTAAATGTAGTTTTTGGAAGAGAGAGCACTTGGCTTAGGAATACGTAAAGGAAGAAGGAATGGATGCCCAACTAACTTATTTAAGATTTATGAGCAGTTTAGCATTCAAAAGTTGTAACATAATTAATTTTACATTTTACCTCTCTTCAGAAGGAATTAGTAGAATTGTCTTTACACAACTAACTGGCATTGCTATTCACTGTTACCCGTTTTGTAAGAGTCATTCTACAATCTACATACTACTCTTTTGCAAAGTAGTAGTAGGGTTTATGTTATCAACCGTCTGAAACTCTACTCTTAGAGCAGTTAGTTGTATATCCACTTGGTTCTTCCTTGATTTAATGTCACAATTTTTCTTTCTTCAAATTTATATGAATAATAAATATAACTTGGTAACCTCTGTGCTTTATAACATCCACAGGAGTACTGCAGTTCACAGAAGTCAGAACCTTGTATCATCAGGACTGATCAAAGAAAGTAATGCTCTTTTAGCGAATTTCCCATATAGGGAATAAGCTATTACCGTAGGTCTCATGGTAAGACTTAGACCCGGGACCGATTTACTTTTTCGTTTTGAGGTCCCCAGAGGCCAAAAACACCATCCGTTCAAATTCATATATATATATATATATATATATATATTTATATATGTGCCCGTTAGCGCGATAACTTGAGCAAAATTGATCCGATTTTGATGAAATTTGGTACAAACGTGTAAACCTACGTTTATTCGAACGAGTTCGCGAACCAGCATAATCGGACCATGGGATCAGGGGTTTATGGGGGGTTTTATGGGGTAAAAATGGGTTTTTCTCATTTTTGACCCTAAAAACTTCAAATTTCTAAATTTCTTTCTAGACCATTTTGAAGAGCTTAAAAAAACAAATAATTTAGTATATTGAAGTGTTTTTGAATGTTCATTGACTACGGAGAAAATTAAAAAAATTGTAAATTTAAAATTCCCATGTTATTCTTATGGAGAATAAATAAACTGTTGTAGTTTGCTTGTTTATGGATATATTTTAATCAAATTTGGCAATTTGGTTTATTTCATACTAAGCTATCAATACTTCAATTGAAAAAACACACCTCAACATGTTCCCCGTAGCAGCAAACCTAACTACTCACTAAAATTAATGTTATTTAAATAGGAAATAAATCTGAAAATTTATTGGGAATATTTTAAAAGAAATCAAGCCGGGAAAATGGAAATTCGCTTAGTATGCAGGTTTGCTGCGACGGGGGTATTTAATAATTGTGACAGGCATGTGTAAAAAAGTACTGTCTTAAATCTTGAAACAGACTTTATGATAGAAAATAAAAGCTTAGACTTTAGAAACTTTTTATACTCCTGTGTTATTTTTTTATATTTACTAGAGAACCGAGCCGCATAGTATAAAAAACATAATGCCAAGGAAAGCGTTATGCTTAAATTCGAGTAATTCTAGTTACATCTAAGAGTTGTTTAAACATAAGTTAGAAACTAATTTTAAATATCTGTATTTGCGTCGTCAAGGTTCGCCTAAATTATTTCTGCTCTCAGTTTTAACTGATAACTAAGTTGTAATGAATGCTAAACGATCATCTGCTTCAATTCTAGTTAACATGATGCTACAAAGTTTTTCCAGCATTGAGAATTGAAGAACACTGTTACCTTACTGATAACCTGTCTTAACTAATTTAAGTTGGGTCATTTTATTTCTTTGATTTGAGACATCCACCTGATCAAATTAATTTTCTCCGTAGAGTAACCTGAAAAGTGGGGTGAAATCAACCATTTCATGTGCTCCATTTTTTACCCACAAACTCTGGGATACCAATTGGACAGCTATAATCTGCTTTGAATAGGCTTTTCTCTTTTTGAACAGCGAATGTTATTTGCCTCTCCTGAGTCATTAAAGTAAACTTGATCGTTGAATCCATAAACACTAATTCATTCACTTATGTTTGGTCTTATATTGCCACTAAAACTATCAATGGCAAATGAGTTTTTGAAACTTCTTATTTTTGACTTGAAATGTCTGGATTGTGTTGGTGGATTCAGTCAAAAAACTTTGTATAAGTTTGTCCGAGGAACTGGCAACATAACCTAGAAGGAAACAATCCATTTGCGTTTTAGTAAATTGAAGTCAAGCAAGCAATACAAAAGTTTACAATATAAACATAAGGTCCACCAAGATTTGGTATAATCTTACTACTTAAACTTATCATATTCAATGCATTACTATAGTTTTTGAAATATCTCGATCCGTCAGTGTCAGAAGTAAACATTTCTTGGATGCATTCATTTCATCTGACATTAGGAAAGTTTACTTTACCACCGTGACAACACTATGTGCTTCGTATATTTTATCACTTCCAAAGTAAGTTGCATAGCAGAGCTGGCAAATATGATTCATCTCACCAAGTGAATGTGTATGTGAATGGGTATCTGTTAGACCAGGCCTCTCTTTTTCTACTCTCCTCATACGCATAAGATATCTTATTATTAATTGTCTCATCCTGCCGTAATCAATATTTCTTCTTTGAACTTGGAGCATTTTCTGTTCTTCCAACAAAACTGATTAGCTGTTTAACTTGGTCTTTTACTGAATATTACAAACATTAATATTTACTCCCAAAAAGCTAATGAGTTTCTTTTTGTAAACAGCTGTTTTTTGTTTTTAAATTTGTTCTATGTATTTCTTATGGGGAAAGCCCGACCTTTGAGAGGGTCTCACACCCTTAATAGTAGGAATTCTAAACCCTTATTGCAAAACTACATATTGAGACGAATCTTTTGACACCTTAAACGTTAAAATTGGTCCACAAATAAGGGAGGAGTTGCGTTAACAAAAAACGGCTTCACCTATTATATATATATATACATGCTTGCCTATTAATATATAGATATATCAGCTACTACTACTGAATACCTTTGTCTAAATTATAATTAATATTTTTTATTCTAAGTGTTTTTGCATGTTTGTTTATTATTCATATCTATTGCAGACAATTTCATTGATGCACTGCCTCTTATTTTACATTATCAATGCATGTGTTCATATGATAATGAAGATTTATTTGATTTGACTTTTTATAGAAAAAGACTTCCGAATGGAACGCTGCTATCACCCCTGAAACAAGAAGAAAGTTTTTTGAAGAAGAGGATGATGAAGACCTCGACCTTGATGATTCGTCAAACGATCCTGATTGGCGAAAGACACCCGTCTATCATAGGTTAAAAAGCATCAGGGAGAACATCAAGGATGCTCGAGGGAACGCGGTTAGTATGTACATCTCTCCAGTCGCTCTAGAAAGCCTAGCGCTGAGCTTTATATCAAAGATAGCTTCAGTCAGCTTAAATTAATCAGTTTTCTGCGGCCTTGTTCAACTTGAAAATATTATTCCTTCACTATTCATAATTGCTGACAGTGAATTCCAGTTGCTGTTGATTTTTTTTGTCATCAACTTAATACAGTATAAAACAGATTCTAGGTACTTATGTGATTTCTATTGCTCACTTAAACCACTTCATCCCAACACAGCGAGCACTAGTGCCCAATGCACAGGCTACCAATATATCTGCGCAAAGATACAGTTATTTCCATCCACTTTTGAGCTAGATGTGAGTTCCCTTATTGTTGTTAGGTACTTTCTCGACTGTTGTGCATAATAGAATTGATGTAAGGACTAAAAAACTATATAAAGAATTAGTGATGGTCAAAACCAGAAATTTTGAATCTCCAAACCGAAACCAAAACTTTAAAAATCGAATCCCGAATCTTGAATCTCAAAACCTAAACGCGAAACTTTTTTACTTAGCTGGTTACAAAGGTCAAGGTTACAAAAATACACATAATCATAAAATGTTAAGTATGCAATCAAAACTGAAAGAGATCGACTCCGGACTGTGACATAACATAGATATGTGATCATAAACAACTAACAAAAAAAATAAATTAAACTTTAACACCAACATAAACATGAACATTAGATTAATTAGAACATTTAGTGGTTAATATTTCTTTGTGTTTAGTAAATATTGATGTGAAACTGAATTGTACCAGTTATAGTATTTAAGATACCTTTTGAAGTTCAGGATAAAATTTACTTGTTTCATTACGTTAATGGTGATGTTTGCTCTGTTGCTACCAGCTTGTTTGGAAGCAGTGTTAAAAACAATAACAATGGCACAAAAAAATGTCAGCAGTTTCAAAAATAAAACTGCAAAAATCCTCAATTTCGAAACTTTTGAATCTCGAAACTTGGTGATCGAATCTCGAAACCGAAACTTTTCCTAAGTTTTGATGGTTTTGAGATTTGAGATTCGGTTTTGACACATCACTATAAAGAATACAACACATGATCGTTTTTCTGCACTAAAGGAGTTCTTAAACCCGGTTCTATGTTTATAGAAGGAGAAAGTAGCAGTGAAACGAAACATAAATGGGCAGCCCTGTTGTAATTGCAAGTTAGATTGTCAGCGGAAATCTTGCAGCTGCAAGAAAAATAACAGTTTGTGCACGGGGCTCTGTTCATGTGACGACGCTAAGTGCAAAAACAAGGTAAACACTACAGACATGAGTTACTTATAGTACATTTAAAAATTAATGTAATATAGGTGAGTCTGTTTGAATCTATGACAGGTATAAGTTATACTTTCCTTTTCAGATCTTTCTGAAACAGCTGAATGCAATGATTAATAAACTAAATAAACATGTGTTGAAAATAAATAGGCCTAAGTAATGTTTTCTTGAAAAAACACAAAAGAGTTACAACGCCTAGGAATATATTTCTAAGAATTCTAGTTCAATGCTTGGAAAAATCTACTGTTTAGTTAAAACTGCCTATTTTCAATCAATCATCAGATAGTAGTTATAGACATATGGAACATTCTCCGGGGAAATTGCAGCAGGGCAGATGAAATCCTAATACTAACTATGAACTGAATATCACTAAATCTGAACATAATGAGCTATGAACATTGTAAACCTCTTTTTGTTTGATTGAAAATTCCTACCTTTATGAATCTGTATATCTATCTTTGATTTACTTAACTATCTATTTAATAAATATCACACGAATACTAAAATTCCATGAACACAGATAGATATACTTCAAGAAATAAAAAACATACTTCAATTGACTACCACAGCTCTTTATAAACAGCCATGTTATCGTAGCTCCTAAGGTTTACAATAAACTCATTGGCCTCATCTAAAATTATAATAATAAACATTCAAGAGAAAATGTTATAACCGGTTGTTAAAAAAAACCACTGCATTCACTCTCTTTTTCTTGCCTAATTAATTTCTAAATCATTGTCTACTAGTGTACCCATTGCTCGAATTCGAGCAATTTCGAAGCATTACAGGCGACTCAAAGATTATGGAAATACTCACGATCTACACAACAGTTAGATATAATCAAAATCTTTTGTAAATATCTTATCTTTTTTCAAAAAGTTGATCTTATTTTTTTTGTGTTTTTAGTGTAAAAAAACATTATTTCTATTTCTTTTACTTCGTTGTGTTCTATGACAATGTTTCCATTGTTTGCAAATCGGTTATTTAAATGATTGCTCAAGAAATGTAGCACAGTGTTAATTCAGTTTTATTTGTAGCCTATATCAAATTGTCCGAGATTTCTCGCTCTTTTCCATTGTAATAATTACACCAACCCAAGTTTCGTCTACAGATGCAATATGCCTATAAGAATATCACCTACATACAATCTCCAAGAAGTGGTAAAAAAGGCAGAAACCAACCTATACAATAGATATAAGTTAACTCCATAAGAAATAATTTTAAAAGTTACTGTGATATTAGGATTTTCCACTGATTTGGTAATAGAACATTATATTGCAAAACATGACACGATGCAGGAGAAAATCAATTTTAAAATCAGAAAATTCCATTGCAAATACTGTACTTCATTTTGACAAATTTAGTGGGGTGGGTTAGCAACAAATTGCACCATAATATTTCACATCTGGCAACCAACGCGCCCCTTTGGATTCAGATAGTACATGCGCAGACGAGTCCAAAAAGTCCGGGACACAAATTTTTCGGGCACTCTATGGGTGTTGATGACGTAATCAAAATGGCCGCCAAAGTTGAGTGACATGATTCTACATTTCCCTATATAACTCGGGTTCATATTTTAATAATGCCCTACATTTTTAGTGATTATTAATCACGAAAAAATTACCTTTCCGATGGTGTACTTTACTTCATTGTTTAGATTCATAATACTACGAATATTTATAGTTTTATTAAATATTTTGTTTTTGATTTAGATTTTTTAAAATCATTTTGCTAAGTGTCGTGGATTCCGTTATACGTAGCTGAAAACGTCTTACATACACTTTTTTGTCAGAATATTACCTTTCTAACAGTATATATAACTTATATTTTAATACAAAAACACTGCTTAAAATTTGCCACAACAATGTATTGGTACACAGTGAGTCGTTATCACCCCGATGCAATTTATAAGAGGACCGAAAGGTAATAGCGCTATTGAGTGCTATTAAACTTTTACTTTCGTTTTAAAAATAGAGACAGTAAAATTAAGTACAAGAATTTAATACCCCAGCCGCAGCAAACCTACCGACTAAGCGAATTTCCATTTGTCTGAATTCGTTTTCAATTAAATATATTTTAATAACATTAGCTTTAACGAGTACCTAGGTTTGCAGCTACAAGGAAACTAATAAAGTGTGTTTTTTAGTAAAATATTGATAGCTTAGTATAAAATAAATAAATTTGCCAAGTTTGATCAAAATATATCCATAAACAACCAAACTACAACATTTTACAATATTGTCCATAAGAATAACATAGGAATTTTAAATTTACAATTTTTTTAATTTTCCCGTTACCAATAACCGAACAAAAACACTTTCACATACTAAATTAATTGTTTTTTTATCTCTTTTAAAAGGTCTAAAGAGAAATCGGGATATTTTGCGTTTTGAGGGTCAAAAGTGAGAAAAACAATTTTTACCCCGCAAAATCCCCTCCCCCCCCCTAAAGCCTCGTTCCCATGGTCCGATTATGCTGGTTATGCTGGAACTCATTCAAGTTAAACCCGCTTTACACCTTTAAACAAAATTTCATTAAAATCGGGCAAAAATTACTCAAGTTATCGCGTTCACCGATGTATATATATACAGGATGTCCCACAAAGGGTTTAAACGTTTGATTTTAGATTACTTGCCCATTTATGCTCCGAACCTTTTGAAACTTTAGACAATCTATAAAGAACGTTTTAAAAATATTCTGGGAAAGTTTCAGCTCCCTACCTCTTGTAAAAACAAAATCGGAGCATATTGAAAAATAGCGTTTTTGGTTTTGTAGAACATTTGTATTAACGCATTCTATGGAAATAAGGCTTTTTCATCAGGAAATTATACCATAGCCTAGTGATAACCCTAAAGTAGAGTCCAAATTTATTGTAACTGTTATCCATCACTAGTTAAAAATTAATAATAAATTGATTTATATGATATAATTAGTTAATAAAAACATTCAATATGCCACCATTTTGTTTCTACAAGGGTTAGGGAGATAGATCTTTCACAGAATGTTTTTAAACCTACTGTACTTTATAAATTGTGTAAAGTTTCTAAATGTTCGGTCCATGAATGGGTAAGAAATATAAAATCAAACGGTTAAACCTCTTCGTGGGACACCCTGTATATATATAATTTGAACGAATGGTTTTTTTGGCCTCTAGAAAAATCGAAATGAAAAAGTAAATTGGTCTTAGTCCGGGTCTAGGTCTTACCGTGCCACCTACGGTAATAGCTACTTCCCCCTATAGGGAAATTCGCTAAAACAAAAGAGTGTACAATACAATATTGTTTAAATTTTATATCAAAATTCATAAATATCATATACATCAAAAATATAATATAGGCTTAAATCACCCTTAGTGCTAAGCCTAAGTGCATTAACCCTTAGTGCCCATTGGCCAAATCTGTGGGCACAGTATTACAAAACATCAATATCAGTATAAATATAAATTATGTTATATATAAAATATATCTAACCAATAGATGGGGTTTTAGAAACAACTTGAGTAATTTTTGTCCGATTTTGATGAAATTTGGTTTAAAGGTGTAAAGTGGGATAAACTTGAATGAGTTCGCGAACCAGCATAATCGGACCATGGGAACGAGGTTTTAGAGGGGGGGGGGGAATTTTGCGGGGTAAAAATGGTTTTTTTCACTTTTGACCCTCAAAACGCAAAATATCCCGATTTCTATTTAGACCTTTTAAAAGAGATTAAAAAAACAATTAATTTAGTATATAAAAGAGTTTTTGTTCGGTTATTGGTAACGGGAAAATTAAAAAATTTGTAAATTTAAAATTCCTATGTTATTCTTATGGACAATATTGTAAAATGTTGTAGTTTGGTTGTTTATGGATATATTTTGATCAAACTTGGCAAATTTATTTATTTTATACTAAGCTATCAATATTTTACTAAAAAACACACTTTATTAGTTTCCTTGTAGCTGCAAACCTAGGTACTCGTTAAAGCTAATGTTATTAAAATATATTTAATTGAAAACGAATTCAGACAAATGGAAATTCGCTTAGTCGGTAGGTTTGCTGCGGCTGGGGTATTAAATTCTTGTACTTAATTTTACTGTCTCTATTTTTAAAACGAAAGTAAAAGTTTAATAGCACTCAATAGCGCTATTACCTTTCGGTCCTCTTATAAATTGCATCGGGGTGATAACGACTCACTGTGTACCAATACATTGTTGTGGCAAATTTTAAGCAGTGTTTTTGTATTAAAATATAAGTTATATATACTGTTAGAAAGGCAATATTCTGACAAAAAAGTGTATGTAAGACGTTTTCAGCTACGTATAACGGAATCCACGACACTTTGCAAAATGATTTTAAAAAATCTAAATCAAAAACAAAATATTTAATAAAACTATAAATATTCGTAGTATTATGAATCTAAACAATGAAGTAAAGTACACCATCGGAAAGGTAATTTTTTCGTGATTAATAATCACTAAAAATGTAGGGCATTATTAAAATATGAACCCGAGTTATATAGGGAAATGTAGAATCATGTCACTCAACTTTGGCGGCCATTTTGATTACGTCATCAACACCCATAGAGTGCCCGAAAAATTTGTGTCCCGGACTTTTTGGACTCGTCTGCGCATGTACTATCTGAATCCAAAGGGGCGCGTTGGTTGCCAGATGTGAAATATTTTTCAGCTAACCCACCCCACTAATTCAATAAATAACAATTTAAATATTAACAGCTGTTGCATTAAAAAGTAGTGTAGAATTATGCATATGGTCGTAATGTAAACAAATCTGAAGAGGCAACTTTAAAAGCTTCTAGGGCAGAGCCCCAAGGGAATTTACCTCTTTCCTCTTTTGATGGCTCATCTACAGACCAAGACCTTTCTTTAGAGACCCCTATCAAGTTTCTACGCCCAGCCTTTCTCTCAAATTAGCTGTGACAAAAACCCCGTTTTCCTCCATAAGAATAACATGGGATGGGAATTTAAAGGCCACGGGGGCAGAGTCCCAAGGGAATTCACCATGTTTCTCTTTTGATGGCTCATCTACAGACCAAGACCTTTCTTTAGACACCTCTACCGAGTTTCTACGCCCAGCCGTTCTTTCAAAATAGCTGTGACAAAGAAAAACAGTTTCAAATTAATATATAGATATTTAAATACAAATCCCCACTCTTTATTAATAGTATCTAAATTATTTTTCACATTAAAACTAAAAAATTATACTTTTATCAATGTATGATTTTTATAAGAAATTATTTATTTTCTACTTTATCTATGACTAGCTGTACCCGCGGGCTTTGCCCCGTTTAACATGGCTCAATCACGTCCTGGTTGAAGTTCGTTCGCTACGCTCACTCACCTTTAGGTTGGAGCTCGCTCGCTGCGCTCACACGTCCTGGTTGAATCACTGCACTCTGTTGGTAATCCTTGTAACTTTAATGCTATTGAACATAATAGAACAGAACCAACTTGTTTAATTGAAACAGCTGTTATGATTCATTAATTCCATTTAAATATGAGTACTCATTAGGTTGATATGGGAAACTCCAGAGCCACTGGGGAGGAGCCCGAGAGTCCGATCAGAATAAAAACCACTTAGTTTTCCTATTTAATGCCTAAAGAATCAGTGTACCAAATTTCAGCCTCCTAGGTAAGTGGGAAGTGGGAGAATTAGTGATGAGTGAGTGAGTGAGTCAGTCAGTCAGTCAGTCAGTCAGTCAGTCAGTCAGTCAGTGAGGGCTTTGCCTTTTATATATATAGATTGATGTTCCAGGCCAACTTGAAGAAGGAATTAATATTTTTAATTAATTATTATGTTCTATATTTTTATACTATACAATTTAAGTTAGTTTTATATTCACACTACATTTGTTTCATGAAAATTTGTAAAATGCACTCTGACCTATCCTATCATACTTTATTTACTGTACTGAATGGAAATAAATATATTTATTTGATTTGATAATCTGACACCCACCCAGTCCTTGTGAGTGTCAGATTCCCAGACTCAACTGACAACAATCCATTATTCTAATGATTTGACTTCAAATGTGTTAATGATTTATTTTCAGGAACAGTATGCAAATATGTCATCAACCATGAGTCCCAAAAATGATTCAACAAGCGATGACAGCAACATTTCATTTAAAAAACCGAGGTAAGAAAAAATTAAAATGTGTATCAATGCTTGTTTTAAATTATTTTCTTTGTTAGCAACTTGCCTAAAACCTTGCATGAGAAATTAACAAGTTGAATCACACACAGCTTTGTAATTAGATTTTAGAATGCACTTCCAATTTACATTAGACAATAGAAAGAAACAACTGCAATATGTGTATTATTCAATAAATTGCTAACCCATTTTACTTTTTATATTACAAATTCAATTTACATTTTTGCTGCACTTGTAGTTATTGGTTTGGGAGTGTTTTCACAAACTCCAAATTTCACCAACTCCAGTAGTAAGGTGTTTAAACATTTTAGAATAAAAAGTCATTATTCATATTGTATGTACAATACACAAATAGTGTGAAATGTCAATGTCAGACTACATCAGATTTTTTTACATTTTTATTTTATTTTACAGATAAGAATAATTACATATTGTTTGTATTTTTTCCCAGCAGAGCATCTCAACATGTTCTTATTTTTTTACATTGGAAGAATCTTCAAATGAATAATAACTCTTTTTTAGCAAATGATTCTTAAATAATTTTTTGAAATTATTTTGTTTTACTTTACTTTCAAATTTGGTAATAAAATTGTTCAAAAAATTGATAAAAGTTGATCCTATAATAAGGATTTCTTTGTAGAAGCTGAGATTATGTTTTGATAAATTTATATCATGCTTATTTCTAGTGACATATGATTTTTTAGTTGATTGTTGACACATTACACATTCTAGTACCGGTAGCCTATATATTGAATATATAGAGTCAAATTTAGTTTTGAAAGTTTATCTTTCACAGTTAATATAAACAGAGCGATTCACGAACTCCAAATTTCACCAAGTCCAATAACATAAGTTCTAAATAATCATCGTTTCACAAACTCCAATAGAATTTATAATAGTATATAGTAATAGTAGGCCTATATATAAATAAAATAAATAAATATTATCGTAATAAGCAGAACATTTCATGAGCACCAAAATTCACCAACTCCAAAAGTACAGTCCCGGCAAAAGTAGCTGCAGGGGTTGTCACGTTCAGATTGCAGGCACCGTCCGCCATGGTTAGGTTAGGTTGGATTAGATTCTTTACAATGATTAACGGACCCAAAATGTTATGTGGCGCATGGCTAATAATCTGACCGGGGCAACCCCTGCAGCAACTTCTGCCAAGGACTGTACTTTTGGAGTTGGTGAATTTTCGAGCTCGTGAAACGCTCTGCTTATTAAATTAATACCATTGGAGCTCATGAAATTTGGAGTTCGTAAGCCTCACCCATTTAGGTTTTTGTCCTAAATTTTGCTTTGATGTTGCAAGTACAGTAGTAAAATAATTGTAGGTGAGCGTCATTAATTCAAAATTGTAATGTTGACAGGATTTTGAAAGAATTTTACCATCTCTATCTTCACGATATTGATTTTGGTTGTAACCCTTTAATCAAGGACCTAAGTTTTTACGTCATCCAATATGCCTCTAGGTCACATTTATACATGATTAGGTCAAAGCTCTCCAAGTTGCATACATAAGGTCCTTTTTAATTTTTTATCTACAACTTATTTATTTACAGCTTATAACTATTTAAGAAAAGATAACTTAATCAATGTTGTGTTATAGGGAAAACACTGAAAACAGTACTATTGTTTAAAATCTAAAGAAAGTGACTTCAAGAGCGCTACTGAAAAGGTAGAATTCAAAATAAGTAATTTTGTTTTCATCATTTGTAATTTTCATCAATCATATCATTGGTCATTCATTTAATGTTATCTGATGATATATGCTGAACATTTAAAGGTTTTAGAGAAAAACATTTAGAGGAATATTTAAAGGTTGTTTTGGACTAAACATGGTGGTGGTACAGTATTTTCTTATAGATCTTGCATGCTCTACGATCTTACGTGTTTGATCTTTTACTAAAATATATTAATATTGCTCATCTAATCTTACCTGAGACGTATTGATCATTTTATAAACGATTATTTTTATTTTATAGTTAAGTAAGTGCATAGGTTATATTCATAATTCATCAAGCTGCCATTATTGTGATTGAAAAATCACAAATCAATCCGATTGAGCCCCTTTAAGCAGCTCCTTATTGTGGATTTCAGCAAGCTTACATATGAAAACAAAGACATCTGGGGTTTATAGTTTTTTTAAATTCATTGCTAAGCCCCTGAGCTGTAGATAACTTTATTGTTAGAACAAATTACTTACGTCAAATAGCTCAATACCTGATAGTGAATTTCAGTCAGTACATGTTTCGACACATTGTGTCATCATCAGCTGAGTACTTTAAGTGTTGTATTCAACCAGATGGCTTCGAACACAAAAACCACACAACAGGTAAACATTTAAAAGAGACATTGTAGGCCTGCTTACAAACGGAAAATGCTTGCTGAACATACAGTCGCGACATTGGTCGGGGACGGAGTCTGTGTGTCGTTTTTGTGTTATGTGTTAATTTATTGAACTATGACGAAGTCATCTCGTGGAATACAAAACTTCACAAGTAAAGTACTAAGCTGATGATGACACAATGTTTGTTTAATGTGGGTTTATTAACAATGTTTGTATTTTCCTAGGTTGATGCCGCTCAACTAGTTTTAAATTCTGGAGAATCAGTGTAAATGTGAATATAAGTAAGAGAAAGACTAATGTATATAATTGTTTTTATCTTTAGACATATGATTATTTTTAAACCCATATTCAATAATTAGTTTTACAGCCAATTTTAATTTTAGCCCTTGGTTGAAATTCTCTGATTTTGAATATTATGTAAAAAAAAATGAATGAAGAATTAATTCCCCTCAAAAATTGATTAACATCACCAATGTCAAAGTACTTATTTACATTTGTTGTTGTTAATGTTGTGAACTCTACAAACGTCAAAGTATTTTTTTACAAGTTTTATTAATGGGTTGAACCTGTATATATTTATGTAGTTTATTACCGTCCTCTTATTTAATTAAAATATAGCCTAATGTTTTAAGGATCTCTTGTTATCACACTGTTTTAATAAATTATTAAAAAATGTACATAAAATGTGTATCATTTTATAACGCCTCCTTTCATATAATGTATTTTTTCTACAGTGAAAAAAACTAAAAACAATAAAGAAAACAGTTTTAATGCTAATTTCAAAATTACCAGTAGTAGTTTTGTTTACGGAATTGAATTAACAAAGTAAATTCTCATACTGGTACGTGATGCATCTTATGATGTTTAAACAATAATTTAAGAATGGAAAAATAAATAACATGAAAAGGACTCTTTATGAAAGGACTGTGCACAAAGACTCTTTAACATAATATCTTGGATAAGTTAGAGAATTTAAAAAAATATGAATCTCAATTTTAAATTTTGTCCAATAAGCTTATTGCTTAACATTGGAAGCTATCTTCTTTTTATTTTTTTAAATCAAGATATCTACACTATTTGGAATTAAAATCTGAGTTTTATTGCAACTTAATACTGTTTAATGTGTGAAAGATATCAATGTCAAAGGGTAAATTATTTGCCACCGAGTTTCATCTGTTATTTTAAGGAATGACACCTGCCTTCTATCACTTTATAATCCTTATATATAATACGTGAAGGCAATTTTTACGAAAAACTACTCCTCCGTTAATAATTGACGGATTTTTACAAACCAAGTGTCAAAAGAAAGTATTTTTTGTGTAGACGCCCCCTTTCACAAATTCCTGTAATAAAAGTCTTCGGGCTTTGCCTCACAGGCCATCAAAATCCCAATGTATTTCTTATGAAGAAAAGATTTTTTTTGTTAACTCAAACAGAGGAATAATTAGTATTAATTACAGCTGTTCATTGTAAACACATTATACAAACTACAAACAAGAGTGTTTGTTTTCAGAGTGAGTTCGTTTTCAGTTTCGTTAGATGGATGGAGTGAGCGTTCTTTTTCAGAGTGAGTTCGTTTCCAGTTTCGATAACTGGAGTGGAGTGATTGATTACATTATCTTTGAGTTGACTCTTTTTCAGTCAATGGAAATTGTGACTGTTATTTGTAAAAAAAAAAACTCCTTTAACACGTTCGCTACTGAGCGTCGCATATATGCGAGGTAAACATTTGAATCTTACACATAGACCGGCTGTCACTTGGATAACAGTACACACAGACCACGGGCGAAAACCTGTAAAACAGCGATCATTTACATTGTGATACGCTACAATCGTGTTTGTAAATAAATTATTCTTGTTTCTTTGTATTTTTTATAACCTTTTGTAATGTCGCATATTTGCGACGCCCGGTCTACAGCGAAGACAATAGTGAAAATTATCACAGTTTTCTTAAAATAGACAGTTCATTTTTTTGTGTTTTAAGGTAAAAGTAAGTAAAAAATAAACAGATTATTCAAGAACAGTTTATAACTGAACAAATATAAAAGCTACTTGTAGGATAATGCAGCATACATACTGCATACATACAGTGATGCAGAAAAGTAGACCACTTTTTCCAACTATTATAAAACGTCACCAATCATCATATCCACAGACCAAGCGACGCAGTTGTGCGTCAGACATCTCTGTAGACCACTGTAGGGAATTTAGTGCCTTCAAATTGACCACTACAAAGATATAAGCGTTTTAATAACATTAGAACCCCGACGCAAATATGCGTCGGCAGTCTATTTTAATGTGACTAGCCGACAGCAGTCTATGGGTGGAAACTGGCTGTCGCTGGTCCATGTGAATGGAAAATTTCGTACTATTGCAGTAGCAAACGTGTTAATATTTTGCAATTGCTTGAATTCGAGCAACAGGTGCACTAGTTATTTTTATAATGGGTACTCAATAGAGGAAACAGAATTTTTGATTAGTACAATCCTGTCCATTCCCAGGGGTGCCCACAAGGGGGGGCTGTGACGCAGACTGCGTCATTAAAATTCTTGGGGGGGGGTTCCAGAATTTCAAATGGGGGGGGTGGCTAAAGATAATTGCAACTGTGTTTAACGTGACGACAATCAATATAAAGTCGCCAGATATAAAGTCGATTAATTAATGACAATAGTTATATTATTGAATTCAATTAGTTAAAATAGGGTTTTAGGATAGTTTAGGATTCGTGGAGGAAGTTATTATTCAAGATTAGCAAGACGTGAGATTTAAGAGGGAGGGCACGGAATGGCTCAGCTGCTGTGTTAGATAAAAAATAACGCGTGGTACAGACACGTCCAGCTACACCGCGACTCAGCACAAAACGCTTTGTTGACATAAAACTTGTTAAAATACAATGAAGTAGCATACTTTACACTATTGTGTAGATACTCGATTAGCTGAGTGAATAGGGAGGGGGGTATTGAAAAATACGGTTAATTCATTATAGTATAAATAAACATAACTTTTTACAACCCCATTAAAACGCTGTAAACAGCCATTAACATCACGATTTGCATTTTTATAAACGGAATTGAAATTCAATATTGCACAATCATTATTGTGCAATAACATTATTATTGTACATTTCAAATCATTTATCTTGGTTCAGTTGCGCAAACGGAAACTTTTAATTATGGCTAACTCAAACTCAACTAATAACTAGCCAAACACTGCATTGCTATAAATAACGTAAATATTAAAGGACCCTTTAGAAAGTGTTATAAGCTACTGCTCATGATAGACGGATAGGCTACCGGTAGGTGCTGTATCACAGCATAGGAATTGATAAATAAGTAACAAAAAAAGTGTAAAATTATATTTAGAGATAATAAAAACACTCTTAAAAAAGAATGTGACGAGAACAATCTTGTTATTCTTTTTCTTTGTTCTTAGGTTCTTTACTAGGTTTCTCTTCAATTCATACACAAATGCATCAAGTCGCCATATTTAGGCCTATTCATTGCCCAATCACAGCCTTACTAAAGTTACCATGGTTACTAATCACTCAATCACAGTTTACTAAGCATTATATCGTCACCATTCCCCAGCTGTTGTATCTGAAATCTGTTGTAACATAGCGCATAGCAGACAGAAGTGTAAAACGGAGCAGACGATTGTTGGCGCAAGCGTTGTTTCCATTTCATTTTCATCAAAGGAGCTATGATGTTTCCAAAGGGAGGGAGAGGCGATAGTTATATCAAGAGAAAGACGCTGACAATTCGTTAAGCAGAGGTTACGAACGCTATACAGATATTCTGGCAATACTGTAACAAATTCCTTAAATTGAGGTGACTTATAAAACTCTAATTTTGTTTATATAGAAAGATAAGTTTCCCAGTCCTGTACAACACCGATTCACGGTCTTTTCCCGGTAATCAAAATTAAAGTACAACTTGATACACACAGAATCTCCGGTTCCCGACCTGGATGGTGGCTAGTTATTTAATTTAATTTACAGTTACATATACATATTAGTACCCGTGATAAATCAAACCCGTTATGTAAGCCAAAGCCACACGGTTATTAATCTCACTGGGTTTTGGATTTGCTTACAAACGTGATCGGAAATGGTTAGGGCCTACACAGTATTCGTATAAAACATTTATGTAAAGATATCAGTGACAGCTAGAAAAATGAATCTTTATCAAAACAGCTGTTCGTAATTTAATATATGACGTGTTCTTTTAACAGATTATTAGTATTTCATAAATGGCGTATGTAGAACATGGAACATAGAGGAAAAAAAACTAGAAAAATCACAAAAAATTGGGTTTTTGATCGTCCGTTATTTTATTTCCAAAATAGTGAGGCCATATTTGATTGGCTAAGGACACTCGCCAATCCTGTGAATACAATTAAACCATTAGAATCATAATCGGTACTCTAGTTTTCTTTAGAGTAGGCTGCGTAAAATGCCTTCTGGGCCGTGACAGACGGACATAAATTATTGAGATAAGACATGTTTCAATTTCTTCAATGTATAAAACGTAAAAATAACCCAAAATATGTATAATTCTGAGCAATGTACAGACAAAACCATAACTTTATTTATATAGATTAACTGGGTTTGGATTTTCAATATCTAAAAAAAACGTATAAAACTTCTTTTAGTTTTACAAATAGTGCTGGGCGGGGGAATAATGTTTCTCATTTGTTGTGTACCTCATTTATGGTGGGGGGGGGGCTGTGGCTCAATTGGGGGGGGGTGCGTCATGAGTCTAGGGGGGGATGGGCACCCCTGCCATTCCTACATATACTATAGGATAGTAAAAAAAGTCACAATCATGAGTATGTTGCTGTATAGGCCTTTTCATACCGGCGTACTGTACGTACAGTTCGTACAGTACGTACTGTACGCGGTCCTTTCACACCGCACAGAAACTTCCAAAACGTACACTTGTTCGTTTGCAGTCAGACAAGTAACACTGGCTGAGCACGTGGTTTGGAAGTGTTCACTGCGCATGCGCGAGCCCATGTACGTACGTTTTAGAAAAATCGCTCCCCGAGCGATTCACACAAAACCATCGCGTACGTACTGGACGTACAGTACGTTCTGTACGCGCGGTGTGAACGAGCTCATATGATAACATGGGCAGCGATTTGATGAAAAAAAAACGTACAGTACGTCCAGTACGCCGGTGTGAAAAGGCCTTAAAGTCGGAGTTCACATTTTTAGCGGATTATGTAAAGTATAAGCGGTTTAAGTCAATTGAAAATGTTTTTATATAGAAATGTATGCATGTTGATATCATGCATACATATCAAGTTTTAATATGCCATTTACTGGATATTTGAGAAAATCCCTTTTATATTTTGCTTAGGTGAAAAAATCCAAGTTACTGTTGTTGTAGACCTACAACTGTTTAAGGCCTTTGATGAAGAAAAGAACTTTAATCAAACATTATGTACGGCTTTTATGTTACAACATTTCAATAAGGTTATAGTGGAACTGTTTTATTAAAAAATTAGGTTTAAGCGTGTAAACTTTAGTATTACAGAGGGAATGATATTCTGGCCAAAAACAGTATGTGGTTTCAGAGTG